ACATTTGAGAACATGACATTTTCAATGTGGCCCTCGGAGTTAAACATTTTTTACATGATTAAATCCAACTTGTGGTTGACATGCTTTCATTACCATTCTTGAAGGGGTCCCGGGAACTAGACCGTATGCCCTGTCCCTGGCGTGTGGGACTCACTCGGGGAGCCCTAACGTGGAAAATTCTGTTCCAACGTGTACTAGGTGGGAAGCATCCTCAGTTTCTAGCCTTCAAAGGCTCAAACACTACTTTCACTGGATAGTGCTGTATATGAAGGATTTGTTTTGTTTTTAAAGGTCCAAGCAACAGTCACTATATAAAAGCAAACATTTTTTGTAGAAGAGTACAGTGCACATACATTGTTCCACCTATATTTAAGAACTTCAAATGGATTTTAATATGGATAGGATAGTGACGGCCACTAGAAGGTGCTGATCGTCTTACTAACATTTCCCCAAATGGGCAAAACACAGGCGGTGTGTGCCATCGGTTCTGTCATACTGGCCTTTGGCTGCGTTGGGGAAGTAATCATATGAAAAGTACCCATAAAATAGAAAAGGCAGCAAGTGAAACTGGAAAAAGGTTGGAGCTATACAGAGCAGATTCGGAAGGAGTTACCTTTATTTTTTCTTAATTGAGTTGAGAACAGGAGAAAGTGCAAGGGCATCTGGCTTTGGGCCCCGCACTGCCGTCCTGAAGTGACACAGATTGGGATTGGCCCGGGACAGTCCTCGTGAGGGCCAGAGACTGCGCCCCAGGTAAGAAGAGTCAGTTCTTTACATAAAGGATCACGAAGCAAAACAAAATAAACCACAAATTAAATACATGACACTGTGAAATCACTTGGATGAGAAAACAACACAAAAGATATTTTAAAATATAAATAAATACATTTAGCCATTTTCATTTTCATTCAAGAAACCCAGAGAACTGCTTTCAAAGCAATTGCGTCTTTAAAATCACTTTCTAAATTCTTCCATAAATACTCACTATTTTGATTGTCACTTAGTGCAGCACCTCAGTGTTTGCTGGTGGTGGTGAAGGATTCCACTAAAACAGTCTCCTCATAGACTATCCTATTCCACTAAAGACCGTTTCCCTAGGAACAGGCAGCTTACAAAATATTGTTAAATACTCAAAGCAGAACCTGCAGAGTATTATTTTATTTACGAAAAACAAGGAATGTAGTGTTAAATTACGACAAGGGGAAAAATATGCAAAAACAGTCACATGGAAAGAAAGTTTTAATTTTTAAACGTCCACGTTTGCTTAATTTCTTGTGAGCTGTTCAATACTGTTTTGAATATCCTGAATTAATAACTATACCAACAAAATGCATCCCCAGTGTTTCCACAGGAGACATTTAAAATAAGACCAAATTATACTTTTCTTCAACCAAAGTAGTCTTTTTCTCAGTCCTTTTTGTGCAAAAATATTACAAGAGCAATTCAAATGGGAAACACTGAAATGACATGCCAACATTTCAGAGCACATTTAAAACACCCAGAATAATTCTTGAAATTATTGTATTCTAAAATATTACTACCAGTCACTTTTAGGTTAGTTCTATACATCTATTCACACTGATGCAATTTTCCTAGACCTCTGAAAATAAACAGGCTCATTGGTCTCTTTTGGTGTCCACACGATAGGCAAGATAGGTTTACAATAGTGTCGAAATGGAACTAGGCATTTTACAATCTCCTGACTCCACCACATTCACAACCAAAGTCAAAATTCATTTGGCTACCTTGAAATCTACTCCCATAAACCTGCTACGGTTCACTGGATCTAAACATTTCTCAGAAATGTGTTATTTTTAAATTTCACCTAAGTGATGATTTGGGGATCCTTTAGAAATGGTAATGCCTAAGGTAATAAACTTTATCAAAATGAATAGTTGCAATAAAGTGCTTGTTACATTTCAAAATGATGCTTTCAGACTGCGGTATGTTGTTTGAAGAGTGTGTGCTAGTCCTACAGAAAGGATCCCCAGGCATGAGAGGTGGGTCCTCTCACCTGTCTCAGGAAGCAGCAGCACTATCTTTTCGTAGGCTGACAGCAGGCACGTTACTCATGCAGATGAGGCTCTACTAGTGCTATGGCAAAAGGGGGAGAAACTTAGAAAAGGGGGAGGCATGTGGAGGGTTCCTACTATACTCATAGTTATATACAAATATATTAAATATGCTATAAAAATAGTCGACTCTTTTCCTTTGCATTTATTTCAGAAGCTCCTTTCAGAGGAATACTCACCCAACCCAAACAAACTTCAGAGGGTCTCGCTCTTCCATCACTAGTAAAATGGCCAGTGCCTTTGTGCTGTTTCTTTTCCACCATTTGAAAATCCCAGTCCGCCTACTCCTGGCTAGACTCACTCGGCAATAGTAGCTTCCAGTGTTTACACCTCCCAACATCGACTCCCAGGGGCTGAAGAGCAGGGTCACAGATATTGGAAAGGTCACAGACGCGAATGAGCTTTACACAAATGTTCACTGACAAACTTTCAATCATCAAAGAAAGAACTAGAGCAAAAGAAAAAGGGAGAAATGGTCAATCCTAGAGAAAAATGCTATTTGCCTTCCACCTTACAAAAACGAAAAGGTTCACCTCACTGTAGTGGAAACATCAGAAAACAAGTTGAGTAATAATCCAGTTTAAAATCATTTTAAAGGATTGTGTGGAGCCAGAGAAAGTACTACTTGAGGGGGACCCTTTCCAAGGCTTCTCGCACAAAGGCTCCCCTCCCCCGAGCACCTGCCCTGCACGGCGCGGCGCAGCCTCCGCCCAAGCGAGCGGCAAGCAGACCGCTTTCAGGCAATGACCACAAACTAGTGCTTCGGCAGAATCCAAATCACATTTTCACTGTTCTGCACGGAGTATCCTATAACCAACTTCTCAAAGTCCCTGGCATCCTCTGATTTCTAGTACATTCCTAAATTTAAGTGACAAAGCAGAGCATGGGACGCAAATGACCCCCTCAGCTTAGGACAGACTTTGGAGGCGGAAGGGTCGTATTTGCTCACGTGCATTCCCCATCCCTCCTGTTAGCGTGTTCTCTGATATATTCTACCAAAAATCAGAGTAACTTTTGAGTGTCCGGGTTCTGGTCTGACACCACTCTCAGCAGCGGCCTGACTGATCCTTGCGGTCCTCCCTCGAGGTGTCCCAAGCAGAGTGGCCGCAGAGCAGCTAACATTTCCCCATGGCTTCAACAGTTTTGGACCTAAAAGTGCCACCCAGAACAAGATGTTTTTTAAGAAAAATCAGATCTCTGTGAGAGTAAAGCAGAGGGAAGGTAATGACCTTGAAGTAGCTGAAAGGTGTCTCTAGTTGGTATTTTTTCATTACGCAGATTTGGGATTTTAAGGAACAACTTTGGCTCCAGAAATGAACAAGAGGCAACTGCGGAATCTTCATCAGAACGTCAAGTCTCAGAGACTGGGGGGTGGGGGGAGGGACAGCTCTGCAACCCAAGTTCAAGGAAAGCAGGAGGAAAACACAGAAGGAGCCGAGGCAGCTGGTGCTCCCTCGCTCTTGGACAACGGTTCGTACTGCCAGAAAAGGGATGGCAGCTAGCCGCTCCTTTTAATTCAGCAATCCATTCCACGGGCAAAAATGAGCTGTGAAGAACAACAGGAATTATAAAATGACGTCTTACCTAATTCTCCTTCCCAAATATGGAAAATACTTGAAGGAACTGGTAGAGGAGAATGTGAACAGTCTACAGCTTTACCTTGTGGCTTGTCTTACGCTTTGCCTTTGTTAACCTAAGTACACAGTACTCACAGCCGGCCCGCGTTCCTTCTAAGTATGGTGTTTAGAGGATAAATCTCAACAGAACAGTTCTTCTATCTTCTGTCACCCATACCGCTAGATACTACCAATGAACAAATGAGGCACAACTCAGATATATATGGAATGGCGTAAGGTTGAGAAAGGCAATTTGAAAGGGGAGAAAATTAATACTGTTGCCGTATTGTACAACATCAGTTTCGTCTATGTGTACCTGTGCTCAAGTTACAACACACTCCGCCAACCGTTCGTGACATTCATGAGAAAGTCAGAAATCTCTTCATCCAGATCATTTAGCTAGAAGAGGAGCTTCTTGATATGTTAATTATTGATTGGTATCTAGTGACACTTCTTTTGTAGAAGGGTAGGTACCAACTTTCTTTGGTTATTTTCTTTTTCAATATAACTTTTTAGTCTAAGTGTGCCCAAGTACAGTTGTCTACAGAAAGACAAAGTATATCCCTTCGGGATGAGAGCAAAGTGGAGGACAGAAAAGTCCTAAGAACTGAGCTTAAGAGCAATTCTGTAGTAGGTTCTTTTCATTGCTCAAAACCTTCTGCTTAACAGCCTCAGTTCTGTTATACATTTTCTTTTAAGGTCAATTTTTATATATTACCAGCTTGCCATCCTCCCTTTCCTCACAGTAATAATTTTTGATACTCTAATATTTCCATTAATTATCCTTTGCTCTATAGTTATAAATTTAATTATTAGTACCATAAGAATCTATAAAATGCTTTATGTAATTTCTGTTGGAATTTATTACCTTTAGAATCTAATATTGCCAAATGAAATCTTAGTTCATGTTTAGAAAGCATGTGAGTTTACAATATTCTATTGTTACAGTGAAGGCAAAGCCAATTCCTACCCCTTCTTTTTTCTTTGTAGGAATATCAACATCATACTGAGAAAATACTTACAGGTAATTCTTAACTGTTTAGCTTGAAAGGAAGATGTTGATTTAGGGAAGTAATTGTGTGATCACATCAATGACTCTGGTAGTGTTAGGATGTCACCCCCCCCCCCCAAGTTACTTGTACCCCCAGTCCAAGAGACCCAAAGCGTCTTCCTGGGAACTGAGGAGAATCTTAATGGCACTGACACCCACATGCTGTTAAAAATGTACTAAGGTTTCAAAACTGCTACTGAAACCAGACAATGAGTTCAAGATGGTGAGTTATCACCTGAATCAAAATCAAGGCACTATGGGTTTTTTCTCTCAAATAACCCTGAATCATTTCTGACTAAAAGAAGCATTGAAATTGTGAAGGATATAATAAAAAGATTCCAACAAATCCTAAAAGTTAAAATTCCCACCAGTGAGAATGTTAAAAAGTGCCTAAAATCTTTTGTGTGCAAATTTTACTCCTATAACTGGAACATTCTTGAAATGACTTTCAGGCTTATTGAAAGCCGTTTACACAACTATTCCCAACTATGAACTGTATCAAAATATGTGACCAAAACTTCCAACCATCTAAAATAAAGCAGTGCAAATCCTATTTTCAAACCTACATGAAAAATAATGAAATGAGGGATATTTCTGGAAATCCTGTTGCTTCAATAATTTAACCTGGAAAAAAATATCCATTCCCAGCAGCACATCATACCTCACGGAACAAACTGTGACATCACAGCCAAAGTATGAACAAAAAGCCTTGTGCCCCGGAAAGTGAGTAGAACACTACTGTGTTGTAAACAAAAGGGGAAACAGAGAAAGTACTGGTTTGTACATGGTGTCAATCTAAGGAAATAGACCTACGAGGAGATAATGCTTTCATGCAGCTTACAAAATGTTTTGCTTTCTTCTCCTTTTATCCAGACATATACATAATTTTTTACAGCATCTATACATAGAGAATTTGAACCACACAACATTCTGAAATTAATGACTATCCAATCATTATCTGAAAACGGGAGAGGGAATGGGGAAGGGGGCCTACTGCATCTACTGGACTGTCTTCATGGCATCATTGTAAGCAACCCCTGACGTGACAGTGGTGTGTCCTCTGTAACACAGAAACAGGCACAGAACCACTAAAAGTTACTAACATTGTTAGTGCCTTTCTGACTGGAGGTCATGTTTCATAGCTGAGCTTCTTAACATTTGGCAATACACTCTTTCCATCGAGAAAATAGCTGGGCGAGGAAAACACGGTCAGAACTGGCTATGGCCCCGTGATCCTCTCCTGCTGGCTGGTACTGCATGGACATCTGGAGCTCTAGGCAGCATTTTCCCTGCTAACCAATCCCAGAAACTACAACACTCAACACTGCATCCTGTGAAACTGCTGGAACTTTTCCTTGTAGCCTCAGATCATCTGAGCAGCTGCTCTGGACAACCCCTTCCTCCCCCGAGGTCAGGGAGGAGGCGCGTGCGCTACTGCGGCTGAACCTTGGAAGGGTCGCTCAGCCCGTCAGTCCTGTGCCGGTGCAGTTGCTGCTGCTGCGGAGACTGGTGCTGCTGGTGATGCGACGGAGGGAAACCGCTCTGCTGTAGTGGAAACGCGGCAGAGAGGATGAGCTGAGCGGAAGGACTCCCGTGGAGCAGCCTTGAAGTCTAAAAGACAAGTGCATTATGCAGCATTGCTTTACCCGGTTAATCCGTCCACATCAAGATTTACTCAAGTTTTCTACTCTGGACAGGGACAGAATTCTTAAATTCCACATAATCTACATCATTTTTTATCTTCTCATTTAAAAATAATATTTTGGAAAATGTTTATGAGATTTCCTTTCTGACAATAAAGAATTTTTTTTAATTTATTTTTTAAGGGAACTGAGCTAGGTATTTTTTGGTATAGAAAGCATTCTATGTCTTGAGAACAACCACACGTACTTTTTCCCTTGGTACACCTTAAAGACTGCAATTTTAAGCAGACAGTAAAATGAGTAAAATGCAAGCGCAGCTGAGAATGCACGAAACACAGATGCTCCGCAGTCAGACAGGGCCTTCAGCGCGGGCTCCTTCAGTTGGTTAGAGCAGCCCTTCCGGAGCCGAGAGCGTGGGCCGCCGGGCTCAAGCCGGCGCAGCCATTCCCGAGACTGTGAGATTTGTTCAAACTACTTACTTCTCTGGGCCTCGGTTTCTTCATTCACAAAATAAAGTGCCTCCATACTGGGTTTTTATGAAGATTAAATATTAACATTATTATTATTTAGAAGTACCACAAAAATGAGGGCAAAGTGAGAGACTTAAGTCCTATATATGTAGCAGTGTGGTTTAGAAAACAAAACAACAACAAAAAAAACAAGGGCCCAGGATGTGACGCCAGAAACCCTGCATCTGAGCTGTGCTCTGCCATTTATCAGCTGCGTAACCTTGGGCAAGTCGCATCTCCATGAGCCAGTTTCTTTCACCTGATTCTGATTTCTGGTGATACAAAGAAAATTAGCCCAAAGAAAGTGAATTTTTACAATGAATCTTCTTCCTCGCTACTGGCAACACAGACTGACGCAGGGCTCCTAATCCAAACACGGGACTGTGATGGGAGACCTTCGCAAATGCATATAAAGGGCACAAGCACGTATACACACACACACGGGCAGATCTTGGAACCTTAAGCTTTGCCAAAGACCTGGACAAACTTCTTTCTCTGTTATTTAGGAAAAGCTTTTGTAACAAAAAACTCAGGATATCTGTGAGCTTTACAGGATTACAACAGAGGCGTATTTTGGAACGAGATGTTATATAATCAGAGAAGCCCAATTTATATCAACTCTCTACACAGAAGTGTATTTCTAAACGATACTGTTGATCTCACTTCTTTAGGGGTCTCATGTCTCTGGCATTCTTCTTTCAGAAGCAGGGGAGAAGAGCGTGCCTGTTCTTGTGCTTGTTCAAGGGCCCTTGATTTAGGAGACCGAGATCTTAAGGCAGGTTCTCTCCTTTTTTAAGGTTTTGCTCAATTGTCATTGAGTATGACTTTCTACAGAAAACAGTTTATAACTTATTGTAAATTCTAGTTATTAATTCATTTATAACAACAGCTAACCTAGTCACTAATAGCTACAGTACAGGCTTCAGGTCTAAGGGGCTGTCAGTAGGACTCTCAGAGGTATTTAGGCAACTAACCTGGTTTAGTTTTCTGTTCTCTTCAAGAACTCTATTTGCACCGTTAACACTAAGGGTGGTAGAGGAAGGATGTATTTATGCCTGAGTATACAGTCTAATACTGAATTTTCTAATCATACCATCATACATACATAATCATACATCTCCATGACTCTAAAACTGATGATACACTATGTGGCTGGCATCCATGGACTGGTCTCCAGACGAATCTAGGCTAGCCTGTACTCAAAACTGCTCCCCATAGGCCAGAACGAAGAAGCTGGATTTCCAGAAGTCAAAACCTGCTACTGTGTGCTCCAAGGAGGGTGCTGAGGTCCAGAAACGTATCCTGCTGAATTCCCAGCTGAGGATCCCAACCTAGGTTAACTTTCTTCTCTACCCTTTAGATAGACAGTTCCAGTCTACTGAGATAACGGGAGATATGTGATGAAATATGCGTCTGCATTTTTGGCTAATCTGAGTGTTTACTCCATTGACCAAGACAGTGCTCATAAATGACAGCTAGTTCTGTGCCTCTGTGTTCAGTGACTTACGCGCATTGTTTACCCACGAGGTGTGAAGTGTGAGCACCTCCATATTATAGATGAAGACACTGAATTTTAGTAAGTAACCTGCCAAAGGGCACACAGCATGTGGAAGAGCAGGGACTGTCTCCAGGCAACCTGACTTCAGAGCGTGTGTGTGTGTATACCGCCACAGTATTTCTCCTCTGACACTAACTCACAACCAAAACATCGTTTCTAAGATTTAATCCAACATAATAATTTAAGGTAATGCCTCCAATTTTTCCAAAATTCCCTTCTGATGCCCCTGGCCTGTAGGAGCGCATGTCTGACGGGCCACTAAAAGGAAGACAGGGTTTGATTTCCAGAAACTCCAGCCAGACAGAGCTCTATATAAAGTACCTTGATGTGGACAGCAAGTAGCTACTCATTCTATCCAGTAGTTCAGATAACGGGGTATGCCCATGGCAGAGCTAAATGTCTTCCAAAGACCAAACAAGGGAAGAAAGAACAGCTAACGAGGACAAGCTTTCCGCCCTTCCAGAAATTTAACTTCTACAATAAGCTTTTATGGATTTTTCAGATGATTTGCAAAATTGTTTTTTTATCAAAAGTGTTATTTTTATTGAGGAATTACTCAGGGATGTACATCCTGCCTAAAGGTATATTTTCACGATTCTACATAAAGAGGACTAAGGAAAAACCATCTATTACATAACTCAACAGCAACATATATGTCACCACAATCATTGCAAACTTGTACTTTTTTTTAATGAAAATGTATTTTATTTTTATTTTTTTTATTTCTTTTCAGCGTAACAATATTCATTGTTTTGAAGGGGCGGGGGGGTGGGAGGTTGGGGGAACCAGGTGGTGGGTCTTAGGGAGGGCACGGATTGCATGGAGCACTGGGTGTGGTGCAAAAACAATGGATACTGTTACGGTGAAAAGAAGTTCTTAAAAAATTTGTTCTTTTAATGCCTAATTTCACTCTGTGGAAGGAAATGAGAGAGCTCCCCCTAGGGGGAATTACCTGTAAGTACTGCTGCGGGGGCGGAGCCTGAGACGGTTGCTGAACCGAAGCGAGCTGCTGCTCCTGGGAGCTCGGCTGCGGCTGCGTGACTGACAGTGTCTGCGGGGGCTGCTGTTGTGGAGCAAAGGTAGGGTAGGCGGTCACCACCTGACCCATGAGCATTGTGCTAGGTACCATGACCGCCCCACAAGCTACGGGAGCAGTTACTAATTTGGTCACAAGTTGCTGACCTTGAGAAAATCTGTGAAGAGGAAAGAAAGAGAAGAAGGGGAGTCAGAAGTGTAAGGTATATATTATAAAAGGTGGTGGGCTGAACACTCCTCTAAGATAATACCCAATGATACTGCCAGTTTAGTTTTTAAAAGCTGTACGTTCCAAGTTCGTTTCCTGTTTCATGTTTTTAAAGATGCCTTTGGGAATACCAGTAAAACAAAAATGTATGTAGCACAATGAAATGATCACAAACAAAAATATAAATTTTTTGGACAACTATATGCAAAAGAATGAAGTTGGATCTTCACCATTCACCACATACAAAATTTAAGTCAGACTGGATTAAAGCACTAAACATAAGAGCAACAACCACGAAACTCTTAGAAAAAAACAGGGTAAGTTTCATGACACTGGATTGGGCAGTGATTTCTTGGATATGATGCTAAAAACACAGGCAACGAAAGATAAACTAGACATCAAAATTAAAAACTTTTGTATATCAAAGGACACTATCAGCACAGGGAAAGACAATTTCTCTTTCTCCTACTCTGTGGGAGGAAATTATCCGCAAATCCGATATCTGATATAGATTATATAAAATAATCCTGTAACTCAACAATAACCAATCTGATTAAAAAATGGGCAAAGGTCTGGAATAGATGGTTTTCTAAAGAAGATCTACAAATGGTGAATAAGCAAATGAAAAGATGCACAGGGAAATGTGAATCACACCCACCAGGATGGCCATTATAAAACAAACAAATTAATGCTGGTGAAGATCTGGAGAAATTACAACATGCACTGTTGGTAGGAATAATAAAATAGTGCAGCCACTAAGGAAAACAGTAGGACTGTTCTCAAAAAATTAAATACAAAATTACCACGATCCAGCAATCCCAATTCTGGGTATATACCTAAAAAGAACTGAAAGCAGGATCTCAGATACTTGTGCACTCATGTTCACAGCAGCATGATTCACAATGGCCAAAAGATGGATGCAACCCAAGTGTCCATCAATGAGTGAGTAAACAAAACACGGTGTATTCACACAATGAAATATTATTTAGCCTTAAAAAGGAATAAAATCGGGGCACCTGGGTGGCTCAAGAGGTTAAGCATTCGACACTTGATTTCGGCTCAGGTCATGATCTCAGCGTCCTGAGATCAAGACCCACACTGGGCTCTGAATGTGCAGCCTGCTTAAGATCCTCTCTCATCTGTCCCTCCCCACTTGCACTCTCTAAATGAATGAATGAACAAATGAATGAATAAATAAATATCTAAAAATAAAAGGAATAACATTCGGACACATGCTACAACATGGGCAAACCTTGAGAACACTGTGCCAAGTGAAATAAGCCAGTCACAAAAGACACACATATTGTATGATTCCATCTGTAATCTAGAGTGTCTAGAGTAGTCAGAGTCATAGATTTATGTGCTCAGAAAGCAGGATGGCGGCTTCCAGGACCTAGAGGGTCCTGGAATGGGGAATGGGGAATTATTGTTCAATGGGGCAGAGTTTCAGTCTGAGACTAAGAAAAAAGTTCTGGAGGGAAAAAAAAAGTAAGGAAAAAGTTATGGAGATTGATGGTAGTGATGGTCCCAACAGTATAAATGTACTCAACGCCAAAGAAATGTACATGTTCAAATAGCCGATGTGGTAAATTTCACGTATATTTTACCACAATGAGAAAAAGTTTTAAACCTGTTAAAAAATATCTTCCTTTTATAAAATTCTAGGTACTTGGGGAATCGGCTATATGTGGCATGTGTTCACTTTGCTAATCATGAATAAACTTAAAGCTATCATAAGGGATTTTTAAAGACCTTTCTATTAGGTTTAAAGATGACACTTATACTGTAAGTTGTACCTTATGAACATAATTCAAAATTAAATGACCTTCTAACACTGAATAAAAATATCCTCAATTTGTAAATTCATCAATGTAGCATATACCCACTGTGTTAGAATTCACTAATATTTGCTCCCTCCCCACCTTCCTTCTATTTTAATAAGACAACAACAAAAAATGATACCTGTTCAGGGAACCAAATAGTATTTCTATTTGCCTTTTCTGTGAGATGAAGTTAGTTTCTAACATTGGCCATTACAGAGCTATGACTCCACTGTGACTGGAGCACGACATCACTGCAATTATACACCGTGTCAAGTACATAATGGTATTAAAGTTAGTAGAAATTAACTTTATTATTTATGTGGTCTGTAAGACAAAATAAATCCATTTTTAAATCCATACCAAATCCTGAAAATAAAATACTCTTATTTTACATACTTCAGGGCTGAATGTATTACTTAATGCAAAAGATATGTAGAAAATAATTTAAAAACTGACATACGGAGAATGATGCCCAAAGAGAAAGTAACATTTTCAAAGTGGCCTGGGCATAGAAGTACTAAATGCTCATTTATCTCTAATCCTAAAAGAAATTGCCCTAACTGGTCACTGATAGAATGTGATGAGAATACTTCATCCATCTCTGGCACCAAGACACATTCTTTAGTCTACTTAGTGCTTAACTCCACTTCTGTGATTTCACATACACTATTCCCTTTGTTTAGAATACCCTTGTGAGAGTCCCTGCCACATGAAAAAGTCTAGCTCTTTAAGACTCAGGCCAAGTACCTCCTCTGTGAAGCTTGGCCTTGACCACACTCCTCTCTTCACCTGTTTGCCTCAACCCATAAAACTGCTAACTTCCTTTTTCTAAAGACCTAGGAAGAAGTATTTATCATGACAAATAATACTGATTTGTTTAACCCTCGACGGCTTCTAAGTCTGATCATTCTCTTGGGACAAGGAATGTGCCATATTCACTTAAGTAGAATGCCAACGGTTGCTGAAATATGTATTTTCACCTAAAAAAAAAAAAAAAAGTCCACAGTTGCTAAATTGTATCATCCAAAATGCACATCGGCATTCTAGATTAATGATGTCTTCCTCCGGCTTTAAAAGTAATCCTCTACATTTCTATGGAGCACATTCATAATACCTCCTTTTAGAATGTCGGAGCGAGAAGTTGGACTTCATTTGAGGAACTGAGTTCCAAAGAGAAGCAATAAGCTCTCTGTGCTCTCACTGCCTCTAGGATCCTACAGCTTCTTTACTCTTTGGAAATTAATAGGATTCTAATCAAATCTATTACATAGTTTGACACAACAAAATTGTATTATAAAAGCAGGAGCCTACTTGTATTGCAATAAAATAAAAACTAAAAAGTATTTAAAATAGGAGTTTTAAGACCATAGAGATCCCACAGAGTTAAGAGAAAGCTTCCCAATAATTTGAAATAATGGCATTTCTTCAAAATATTTGTTTCTATGTCAACTACTTGGACTGCTCACTAAAATAAGTCATAAATGGCTGTTTTTCTAGAATGGCCTACAAAAGTTTAGTGTACTATAAACTTAAGTCCTTGAGTTTTGAAATCAGATACCCAGGCTTAAATTTAGAAACTACTCATCACCCCTTTAACTCCCTACAAGCCCCTAACCAAATTACTATAAACTTACTCTTTTCTTATCTGGGAAATAAAAGACCTAACCACATCTTAAAAAAAAAAAAAAAAAAAATTCAATGAGATAGTGTATTTTGAGCACCTAGCACAGTACTCAACAAACTCAAGAAAGGTAAGCTACTTTTATTCCATAAACCATGGGAGTATAAACCTTAGCCATTGTTACTGCATGAAAACTCATCAACATTTGTATTAAAATGTTGAAAGTTTCAGAGTCGTACAAAGCCTGTCATAAAACTCCTGTAACAGTGTGCTATGGATACTGGACTCTGTAATATTCAGTAGAACATTTTTGGATAGGAAACAAAATTTATTGTTACTGTTTTATTATAAATCCTTAAACAATGGACATGTTCTGCATTTTTTTTGTTTTGTGTTTTTTTTCTTGTTTGTTTGTTTGAGAGAGAGGAGAGAGGAATTGCAAGAGAGAGACAGAGCACGAGAAGGGAGGAGAAGAAGAATCAGACTCTCCACTGAGCAGGGAGCACAATGCGGGACTTGAACCCGGGACACTGAGATGGCCCATGACCCGAACTGAAGGCAGACACTTAAACAACTGAGCCATCCAGAACCCCTCTGCATTTTTAGTTCTAATTCAAGAATGCTGGTGGGAGTTGGCTACAAACTAAAATCAAACTTTTAAAAATCAAATCAGTTTTTTAATTCATCAATTTTTACAACTTTGAAATGACTGAATTTTGACAACTACCTGATCTGTCTGTCCTGAGTGAATGTAGTTACTGCAGCACTCGGGGTACTGCTCTGTGGCATGCTAGATGGGATCTGGACCATGCTTCCGGCTGCCGGCTGTGAGATCACCATAGTGTTGTACAGTGGGGCTGTAAGAGTGCTCTGTGTCTGACTGGGAAGAGATGTTTGTTGACTGTGCCCACTCAACACATTCTGTTGACTCTGCTAGAAAATAGAAGATATTACAGATGAATTAAATGAAAAATTTTTTTTAGGAAATATGCATCTACTATTCATTACTCTAACAATAGTTGACATGACCAAAAAAGGAGAAGCAGGACATATTACTCTGGGAGAAATCTAACTACAAAGGAAAAAAACCTATAGTAATTGAGAATGAATTAGTCTTCAGTATCTTGTTAGAATATAAACTATGACCTTTAGAACTTCTGTTAAATGCCCAGAGTGAGTGACGAACGTTAGACATCTTGACAGATTTCACCTGAAGTCTTGGGATTTACAGTCACTAATGTACACCAATTACCTGCATCAAATTTCCTAAATTACTGATTAAACTATCACTACTGTAACAGCTTATTCTTCATAGTAATGTGTTTCCTGGTCACCCTCTTTTGTAAGTCAAACCTTTATAACATACAGAAGTAGCCTGTATGTTCATTTTCAACAAACTGCAAAATTTTTAAATGTCAAAATACTGAAAGCATTTATAACATTGACATCTTAACAATTTTGCACAAAATATTTTAATGATCACCCTCAAAACTAAACTTCTAATTATTACTATTAAAAGCTAAAATATGGAATTATTTCAGATAGACCTTCATTTTCATTTCTGCAATAGTGTACATTTCAATCACTCAACACTCCAGAGCTCATTGCACTTGATCCATTACCTGACTTGATGTACTCTGTAAAGTCTGCTGCGGTATCATATGCTGACTTGTGCCAATGTGTCCAGTATTCATTCCACTTTGAATCTGGTTAGTTTGAACGACCTGGCCCTGCATATTTATAGGTGTGAGTTGCTGGATGTTAGATGAATTTCCAGAAGAAAGTTGAACAGAACCAAAACTCAAACCAGGGGTTGACTGTTGTAAAAACATCTTTAAAAATAAAGATTACATTAAAATGAGCTTTGTAGATTAAAAACAAAGAAGAATGAGAGCAATTTAAAAAAGAGAAAGCAAAAACAAGCTACAAATTAAGTTTAAAAAGCAAATAACAGGATGGTTAAGTCTTTTTCAGTGACCAATTAGCAATAAACAATTACTGGAAAAAAACCAATTCTTATCCATTCTTCCAGTCATCCCATAACCTTATCATGTTTCCAACTGTCAGAAAAAGGGTGATAAATTTCAAAACCTCTACTTGTTTGAATATTTTACATGCTGGTCACTGTTTGTTCTACCAGCTAGCATTACCCCAATTCAGTGCTACTCAAAGATCTATGGACAGGCAGTTTTTCATCAATCATTGTTTATAATGTCTGGCATCAGACAGAAGTAGCTTTTTTTCACTTAGTTTCCCTTCTCCAAAATCCTAGTTTCTTCTGAAAGATACAACTTTTGTGGCCCTGTCTACTGATCAAATAAGACTAACCAGAATTATATCTACCAGTTTACTAAAATAATGATTGATGATTGATTTATAAACTCTACCTACATGTACCTAGAAATCTACACAAAATACAATATTATGGGTTTAAATTTACTAAAAATTAGATTGCTAAAAAGAGAACTTTAATCTGGAGAAACAATGATGTTGATGGAAATACTCTCAGGAATGAATCAGAGTGTAAATTCCATCATACTGAGTAGGTAACCAATGAGTATTTATTGAACTAAACTGATGAAATGTTATCTCTTGCTTCTCATTTTTAATTAAGAAAAGTCAATTTTCCTAAGAAACCAAAATGTGAATGGCATGTTTTGTTTGTATTCAAATATAATAACTTTACCTGCAGCCCTTGACCATGGACCATTTGAAGTTGTTCTTGAATTTTTCTTAGTTCTTCTTGTTGTCGATGAATATTTGCCTCTATCATCCGTGTCCGTTGCTCTAATTGGTCTTTTAGATGCTGCATGGCTCCTAATTGAGCTGAAAACTGAAACTGAAGTACCAGTTTGGGAAAAGCGTAACATATTTTAGAATCACTTACTCTTCATAATTGTGTGACGTGAAAAATAAATAGTATGTATCCCAAGCTAAGAATGTTACACTAGTTTTCAACGTATTATCTCTCAGCTCCTAATTCACCCACCTTTGCTTGGTTTTCTGCTACTGGAGCTGGACCCTATAAACATCTCCTTTGTCAGCAGACACAAACTTAGTCATGTCCGTAGATGCTGCTGGAGGGATACTGCAAAAGGAGTATCCCTTGACTTTCCGGCAAGTCTTATTGGCATTCTTATGGGAAGCTCCCCTGCAATTTCTGCTGGTAACCCAGCAGGCGGCTTCCCACACTCCAGCCCTGGTCTGTGGTACCTCAGTGAACCTCTCTCTCATCCAGTGGCTACAGCCACACCAGCCCCTTTGGGAACTGAATTTCAACTTGGCCCTGGAGGAAGAAAAGTTGAGGAGGCCTGGGGGAGTTTTCCAAGTTGTTCCTTCTTTGCATACTATACTCCCCCTCTCACAGTTAGTGGCTGTTCTCTACATCCATTATCTCTGTATTACTTAGGATTCCCTGTTACCCTGTTAATAATTTTTTTATTATCCCTATTTCAAATTTCTGGTATGGCTTCTGACTTCTGACCAGATCTCGCCTGATTACAAGTACACACTAGCATTGGAAGACCAGCGCTCAGTTGTTCAAGCCTGCAATTCTTGATTTTGGTTCAGGTCTCCAGGTCCTGAGATTGAGCCCTGTGTCAGGCTCACACTCAACACAAAGTCTGAATGAGACTTTCTCTTTCTCCCTCTCCTCTTTCAGGACCCGAAGACTTTTTCTCTTTCTCCCTCTGCGTCTCCCTTGCCTGTGAACATGCGTGCTTGCTCTCTTCTAAGATAAATAACAACAACAAAAAAACAAAAAGACCAGAGCTCATACTGTGGCTCTATCATTTCCTAGAACAAGTTACTTAATTTCCATCATTTAACAAATGAAAAAGTAGCCTGCTCCTAGAGTTATTCATATTAAATTCTATCATCCCTAGAATGGCCTCTTTGTATACATCATTAGAAGGTTATAAAAATCTAACAGATAACTAACCATATTTTTATTCATATTTTCAGCTGAAACTATTCACAGTTGTATGTTCACAAGTATGAAATGTAGACTTTTATAGACTAAGCAATTATGAATGAATAAATGCATACATGAATGCAAACAGTTATTCTACTTCCAGGATTTTCAATCTTATTTCATGGTTTTACTTGAGTCATAAACAGCTTCTATTTACTACTGCTTGAAATTTAGTCACACTTAGTGATTCATCACTTAAGTGTATCCTGCTCATTTAATTATTTCCATGAATATTTAGCACAGGATATGGCAGAAAGAATTCCAATTTATTGGGAATGTGTCTTAATCTTAAAATAGTCTCCTACAGGGGCACCTGGGTGGCTCAGTCAATTAAGCATCTGCCTATGGCTCAGGTCAAGATCCCGCGGTCCTGGAATAGAGCACACACTGGGCTCCCTGCTCAGCAGGGAGTCTGCTCCTCCCTGCAACTTGTGCGCTCTCTCAAATAAATAAAATCTAAAAAAAAAAAAAAGTCTCCTACAGTGAACTGCATCTAAAAGTGAGCAAAGCCCTCCAAAAAGCCTTTTTCTCTATCTTCAAAAGTTTGTGTTGAGGATACTGAATATTACCTTTCAACAAGTACAGAACTCTGTCTTTTGAATTGACAATCATCAGACCCTATCTTATATTAGATCACAGTAAGTAGGAGAAAACTTACGAGTTTTGTGCCTTAGCTCCCTCATGCCTTTAAGAAATATTTAAAATATTGTATTTTATCCTAACAAAAGTTATTTATACTTTTGGGTAAACATTACATTGTCAACACTGAAAGGATTTCTATTAAATGCAAATAATAGAAACCCAGAAGGCAGAGTAACAGGAAATAACATCACAGAATTAAGAGACAAAGTATTTGGCTTTATCGCTCAATGAAATATGAGATCTGTCTATAGTGTCTCCCAGCGGGGGTGTTATAGCACATAAACCAGGATAATTCCTTGTTGCACAAAACTGTCCTGCATCCTGAAAGATAACTAGCATCCCTGGCCCTTGTCTATTAAGGGCCAGTGATACTCCACAATTAGATCACCGATCAGATCACCGACAATCAGAAATATCCCCCAGACATTATAAATGCCAACAGGTGAGAGTCACTGCATTAAAAAGTATATATTTTTAAAAATTTCTATTAGCTTAAAAACAATTTATCATTTTAAAATACTTAACTGAAACAAACAAACAAAAAAATACCTGGGACATGCCTTGTGGAATTGGTAAATTTGCAGCTTGAGACATCGCTGGCTGTGTTAACGACTGACCAACAGATTGGGAATTTATGGACTATGAAGCAAAACAAAAAATAACACTGGAGTGACAACTATTCCCATCCATAAGTACTTCCACCAGAAATAGCACCATGGTATCTTTATAACTGAATTACAATTTGCCTCATAACATTTTTAGCGGAGTACAGGCATGCATATCGCCCCCTCTACACTGGATGTGCCCATTCCCTATTTATCCTTTCATCTTCTAAGTCATCTGCCACATTACCTTGCATGGGCTCTTAATAAAAATTAAATGGACATAACTGAAGGTGATTGGTATTCGAAATTAAATATGAAATGGCTCTAAATTATTAACTTTCCTTAAGTAAAAGAAATATCTAACGTTTTACCTGGAAAATAATCGAAAGGAGTATGTCTGAGAATGATTTCACAAAAAGGGAAAGATCTCAAATATTATTTATCAACAGCAATTCTGATCTTTATAAAAAGGGGTAATGAATTAATGAATTTCTAAAAATTTACATGATTTCCCCCCCTTATAATAAATCTTTATTCAGATGAGTACTACCTAGATAAAGTTTACCTGACTACTGAATGATGCCCTCCTCGATGCCATCTTTTCATGAGCTGGTAAATGTGGTCTGGGAGGAGTGCTTGTGTCCGTTGGGATCTTTGTTGGTGTTGCTGAGGTTAGTCAACAAAAATGAAACAGCGTTAGTACTTTACAAAATATAATTTGCGAAGATAAATCTCAAGATGGATTCGATAAATTAAAAATAAACTTTCAATTATTTTTCTAAATTATTTCATAGAAGTGAAGTCTATGACAATAAGAGGATTCACTTTAATTACTTCTTTCTTAAGGACAAAGAATATATCTAAAATAGGAAAACTTTATATTTAAAAATGGTTACTACTCCTAGAGCTCAATAGTAAAAAAAAATAATAATAATAATAATAATAATTCCATTTAAAAATGGCCTACAGACAAAAAGACATTTCTTCAAGAAGATACACAAATGGCCAGCTAGAATATGAAATGTTCAAGGTCACTCACCATCAGGGAAATGCAAATCAAAACCACAATGAGACATAACTTCACCCATGACAAGATGGCTATTATAAAAAAACAAGAAGTGTTGCTGAGAATGTAAAGAAACTGGAACCCTTCCACACTTAAAATTGGTGGGGTTATGAAATGGTAGAGCCACTGTGGGAAACCGTAATGGAAGTTTCTAAAAAAAATTAAAAATAGAACTACCACATGTGATCCAGCAATTCCACTTCTGGGTTATTTATCCAAAAGAACTGAAATCAGGATCTCAGAGAGATATTAGCACTCCTATGTTCACGGCAGCACTATTCTCCATCATGGCTGCAAAGTGATCTCGTACTATTCTTAATAGCCAAGATGTGGAAACAATCAAAATGTGTACTGAGAGATGAATGGAAAAACAAATATGTGGTAATATATATACAATGAAATACTACTCAACCTTTAAAAGGAATGAAATTTTGCAAGATAAGACAAAATGGATCAATCCTGAGGACATCATGCTATGTGGAAAAAGCCAGTGAATGAAAGACAAGTACTGCATGACTCCCTTCTATGAGGTATTTAAAATAGAGAAATTCACTGAATAGGAGTAGAATGGTGACTGACAAGGACTGGAGGGATAAGGAAAATAACGAGTTAATAATCAATGGGCGTAACGTTGCCATTAAGTACAATGAATAAGCTCTAGAGATCTGCACTACAACACTGTATCTATAGCCAACAATAATGTACTGTAAGCTTGAAAACTTAAGAGGATAGATCTCACTTGAAGTATTTATACCACAGTAAAATAAAATGTATAAAAAGAGAAACATAGCTACAAAGGAAAAACTTTTTCCCTTAAGATTTAAGAAATTCTATGTTTAACACCTCTTTAATGTTCTACCTATGGTGTTCAGTGGTTCCAACAACCTCCTTTTCCTTACGTGGTTGTAATACCCTGGGAAATTAAACTGCTAAACTCTTTAAACAAAAGAAGGTTACTAATCCAATGATAATTATGCAAGTCTTCATTAAAAATTAAGAATTAAAAATAACATTCAGGAGTTAGTCCAAATGGCAGAGGAGTAGGAAACCTTAGTTCTGTCTGGCCCCAGGAATTCAGCGAGACAGCTATCAGCTCGTCCTGAACACCTATGAACTCAGCTGCAGATCTAAGAAAAGAACAGCTGCAACCCTACAACGAGCAAAGCGACCACTCTCTTCGAGACAGGAGGTGCAGAGAAGTGAAGCTGAGGCCATATGTCTGAAGATGAACTAACTGCGGGGGAGGAAGCCCCCAAAAGCCAGCTCCTGGAAAGTGATACAGCAGTGGAGTGCAAAATCAGAACTTTTAGAAGCCTGCTCAGGTGAGAGACGTCTCTGCGTGAAAGGTGCTCAGGTGGCGGAAGCAGGACGGAATACTAAGTGGGATGGTGTGGTCTCAGGATCCCCAGGGTCACAGGAAGACTGGGATTGCCTGAGCGTGGTCGAGTTTCCAGGCATCAGAGCAGGGAAGCTGGCTATCATCAGTGAGCCCAGGAGTCCGCTCCCACCTCGGGGTTGCCATATACTGCAAATCGGGACACAGCAGAACCACAGCGAGACCACCCCCTCCAGAAGTGGCATAAGGATGCGCCACAGAAGTCTTCAGGGTTTGGAGCCTCAAAATGGGGTCATGTGACTGAAACAGAAATGCTGGGTCATAGGCCAGGTGAGCAGCAACAAGGAAGACTGTAGTGATTGACTGCTCTTCCCCGAGGGTGCACTTAGCAGTGTGGCACTGAACCAACCTCATACTCATCCTCTAAAGCAGCATGGAAAACCTTCAGGGAACAAAAGCCACAAGGAGCAATCAGGCACAGATTACTTAGCCTAGCCCCTGGCAAGGGTGGTTACCATTCCACCTGGGGCAAAGACACTTAAGAATCAATGCAAGAGGCCCCTCCCCCAGAAGATCGGCAAGACCAAGTTTACTGATCACAGAGAACTGCAAAACTCAAGCACTGGGGAAGACAGTTTATATAATAAATGGTCTTCTTCCCACGATTTTTAATTTTTCAAAATTAATTCTTTTTCCTCTTTCCTTTTTTTTTTGATTGCATCATTAAACCTTTAATTAACTTGATGGTTTTGACTTAAGAAAATCAATTCCTCTTTCCTCTTTCAACCAATTTTTACTTTATGAACTTCTTAGAAATCTTTTTAACTTTCATTTTTACATTTACATTCAATCCTCTCATTGTATTTTATTTTTGTATATAAGTTTTTCTTTCTTTACACTTTTGGGATGCAGTTTCCTTTAACAAACAGACCAAAACACACCCAGAATCTAGTGTATGGTTCTATTCTCTTCACCTATTTGATCATATTCTTTTTTCTCCTTTTTTTTGGTAAAAGTCTTTAATTTTCATCTTTACAGATACATTCTATCCTTTCAATGTATTTAAAACTTTATTTTTGTACATGTATGCTTTTTTTTTCTTTATAATATTGACAGGTAGTTTCTTCTAACAAACCAAAATACATTCAGGATATAGCGTATTGCTCTGTTCTGTTTACATTCCTTCTTTTTCTTTTTTTTTTTTGTATTTTAACTATCATTTTTACAGTTACATTCTATCCTTTCATTGTACTTAATTTTATTTGTGTACATATTTTTTTTCTTTACAATTTCCAGATCTAGTTTGGTTTTTTTTTTTAAGATTTCATTTATTTGATAGAAAGAGAGAGAGATCACAAGTAGGCAGAGAGACAGGCAGAGAGGAAAAGCAGGCTCCCTGCTGAGCAGAGAGCCTGATGTAGGGCTCGATCCCAGGACTCTGAGATCATGACCTGAGCGGAAGGCAGAGGCTTAACCCACTGAGACACCCAGGCGCCCCCAGATCTAGTTTTCTAATAAACAGACCGAAATACACACAGCATACAGTGTATTGCTCTTTTCTGTTCACTGTCCGATTGTACTATTTTTTTTTTTTTTATTCAGTCTTGGGTCTTTTCTGATTTGTGCATATTTCTCTGGGGTCATTGTTGCCACTTTAGTATTTTATTCTCTCATTCATCTGTTCTTTGGATAGAATGACAAGATGGAAACATTCACCTCAAAAAAGAGAGTAACAGGTGGTACTGACTACCAGTGACCTAATCGATATGAAAAGTAAGGCTCAGAACTAGAGTTCAGAATAACAACTATAAAGATACAATGCATAACGATACATTAAAAAGTCTACTAATGAGATGCAATAAAAAATGGAGGCCCTAACTGCTAGGATAAATGAGGCAGAAGAGAAAGAGTGATACAAAAGACAAAATAACGGAGTATAAAGAAGCTAAGGGATAAACAACTACTGGATTATAAGGGGAGAATTTAAGAGATAAGTGATACCATAAAACACAACAGTATTAGAATAATTGGGATCCCAAAAGAGGAGGATGGCCAGGGGAGGGTGCAGAAAGTACAATGGAGCATATTATAGTGGCGAACAGGTCTGTAACCTACAAAGGCAGAAACAACAGACTGGCAGGAGACCTATCCAGAGACCTGACAGACCAGAAAGGACTGGCATAATACATTTGGGGTGCTAAATGAAAAAAATATGCAGCCAAGAATACATTATCCAGCTAGGATGTCATTCAAAACAGGAGACATAAAAAGCTTCCTGAACAAAGAGAAACTAAAAGAATTTGTGATCACTAAACAAGGTTTGCAAAAAAAAGTCTAAAAGGATCCTTTAAGCGAATACAGAGCCCAAAAGAAGCACGGACCAGAAAGGAACAGAGACAATATACAGTAACAGTAACTTTACAGGCAATACAATGGCACTAAATCCACATCTTTCAATAGTTACTCTGAAGGTAAATGGGCTAAATGTCCTAATTAAAAGACATAGGGTACCAGAATAAATTTTTAAAAAAAGCAAAAACTTTCAGAAAGCAACCTTAAACAGGTGCCTGGGTGACTTAATTGGTTAAGCATCTACCTTCTGCTCAGGTCATGATCGCAGGATCCTGGGATCACGCCTTTCATCAGGTTTCCTGCTCAGTGGGGAGTCTGCTTCTCCATCTCCCTCTACCCCTCCCCCCAAGTCGTGCACTGGCTCACTCCCTTTCTCTCTCTAAATAAATAAAATCTTAAAAAACAAAACAAACAGGGGCACCTGGGTGGCTCAGTGGGTTAAGCCTCTGCCTTTGGCTCAGGTCATGATCCCAGAGTCCTGGGATCAAGCCCCACATCGGGCTCTCTGCTCAGCAGGGAGCCTGCTTCCCCCTCTCACTCTCTCTGACTGCCTCTCTGCCTGCTTGTGATCTCTCTGTCTCTCTCTCTGTCAAATAAATAAATTAAATCTTTAAAAAAAAAAGAAAAACAAACAAAACAAACTAAAAAGCCAACTTAAAGAACACTGACTGGTTCTACCAGTAAAAAAATGAATAAACAGTTTTGTTTTTTTGAGGGACGATTAAAGGCAACTTAACAATACCAATACTACTACCTAAATATTTTATACACTATTTTATAAACTTAATTCTTTGTTCAACGTGAGCAACATGGCTTTTGCTCATTGGAAAGGTTAGTATATTTCAGAAAAGTATAAATTTATCATTTTGAAGTAGCATTTTACCCATCTTCCCACCTACCTCCCCTCTGACAACAAACCATGCTCTTTTCTATATTTAAGAGTCTGGCTTTTTGTCTTTTTCTTTGTTAACTTGTTTTGTTTCTTAAATTGGTGAAGGAGATTAAGAGTGCATTTATCATCGTAAAGAATTAAGTCATTATATTGTACACCTGAAGCCAACATAACACTGTACGTTATACTTCAACTAAAAAAAGTAATAAATTTAAAAAGAGTGTTTCTTACTTTTTAATGTAAGCAGTGCTACAGTAAACCTTTTCATATAAAAAAATAAAGTAGCATTTGATGAAAAATGCTGACACCAGTAACACAATTTAGAAGCACTCTCCTGAGGGGCACCTGGGTGGCTCAGTGGGTTAAGCCTCTGCTTAAGGTTAAGCCTCAGCTCAGGTCATGATCTCAGGGTCCTGGGATCGAGCCCCGCATCGGGCTGTCTGCTCAGTGGGGAGCCTGCTTCCCCCCCAACCACCCTGCCTGCCTCTCTGCCTACATGTGATTTCTCTCTGTGACAAATAAATAAATAAAATCTTTAAAAAAAAAAAAAAAGAAGCACTCTCTTGAGAGAGAGTGCTTTCAAGTTAGGGTACTCACAGGAAGGGTCTGAGACGGCTGTGTGAGATGATTTTCTTGAACTCCGGGAGGAAGCAGAAGGGGTTGGGCTGTGATCAAACCTTTCCAAAGCTTCCTTGAGACTGACTGTGTTTATACGATTATCAGACCCAGAATCTTGGCTCTAAGGAGACAGAGTAAAATATGTTTTCTTGTAGTTCAGTTCAGAGATCCCTAATTAGCAATCCAGCCTGTTAACCCCCTTCTTCCCCAAAATCAGTTTTAACCCACAACAAGGCAAAGGTACCTATATAATATTTACCTGTGTAATATTAGGTAAAGAAATAAAAATTTTTCTATTGCCAGAAAATTTTGGCTTCATTCTCTACAGAAACAGATGCAGAAGAAAGAAGCTGGACTCTTAACTCACACCACATACAAAAATTAAGTTAAATGGATCAAAAATCTAAGCGTAAGAATTAAAACTATAAAACTTTTAGAAGGGGAAAAGCTTTATGACACTGGACTGGGCAATGACTTCTTGGATGTGACACTGAAAGCACAGGCAGCAAAAGTGCATCAAACACTATAAAAAGAATAGAAAGACAGCCTGCCCATGGGATGGGAGATAACATTTGCAAACCACTATCTGATAAGGGATTAACACCCAGAATATACAAAGAACCCTACAGCTGAACCCTACAGTTCAACAGATCTAGAAAATTAGATCTGGGGTTGCCTGGGTGGCTCAGTGGGTTAAGCCTCTGCCTTCGGCTCAGGTCATGATCTCAGGGTCCCCGCATTGGGCTCTCTGCTCAGCAGGGAGCCTGCTTTTCCTCTCTCTCTGCCTGCCTCTCTGCCTACTTGGGATCTCTCTCTCTGTCAAATAAATAAATAAAATCTTAAAAAACAAAATCCAAATTTAAAAACAAAGTTACAAAGACATTTCTCCCAAGAAGATATATTAATGGCCAATAAAACACACTGAAAAGATCTCAATTTCAGTAATCATTAAGGTAATGCATATCAAAGCCACGAGATATATACCACTTCAAACCCATCAGGATGAATATTACTTAAAACCAAAAAAACCCCAGTGCTGACAAGGATAAATTGGAACCTTTGTACACCGCTGGTGGGAATATAAAATAGTGAACCTACTATAGAAAACAGAATGACGGTTCCTCAAAAAATTAAGTATAAAATTACTACATGATTCAGTAATTCCATTTCTAGGTATACACTCAAAAGAATTGAAAACAGAGACTCAAACAAGTCTTTGTACACCCATGTTCATAGTGGAATGATTCACAATAGCCAAAAGATGTACGCTACCCAAGTGTCCATCACTAGATGATGGATAAACATAATGTGATCTTTTAAGTGGTGGCTCTTTTCTATCTTATAACAGTCAGAGCCTGCTCTGGAGAGGAACAAAAGTCCTCCTACTGCTCTTTCCAGAAGGCTTCCCTTTCCTTTCCCCAAAACTCACAGCCGGAATTTCACATTATCACTATATGACTAACTCTCATTGCTATGGTCAGTCATCTACTGACCTTGTGGCCACTCCTCACTAAGCACCTGAATTCAAATTTCTGCTCCTGGCTCTGTCTTATCCTCACTAATTCCTACTTCCACAGTTACCAATATCAGTATTAACTCACATGTTCAACATCATGAGTTCTCTCTTCCTTGATGCCTTGATCTTGATTTCTACCTGTCCTCAGTCACTCATTCCGTTGTCATTACCACTAAGAATAAACCTTCCATAATCTCAATTTCAAACACCCTCCTTTCTGAGCAGCATCTTCCACATTTCCTACTCATTTCTCTTTAGTATCTCAACTCCAATAACCCTTTAGCAGAACAAAAAATACATTGATTCTACCACATTTTCACAATCACTCTCTCGCTCTGTCTTCTCTCCTCTTTACCCAGCTTAAATTCATGGTTAGCCATCATAACCACACCCTTAGGGGTATCATCAACTCTCGTGCTCCTATCTCCCTTCACCACACTCCCCTGGAAAAATCCCAGGGGACTGCTGGTTAAGCCAAATTTTAATCTATTCTAAACATGGCTGAAGAAATTCAACATGGTGACTGTTCTCTTTAAATTAATGGCCAAGATCCTCAAGCGGGCCCTTAATCCTGCCTGCCAGACTAAAATTACCTTGTTTGTTCACTTTCCTACTCTCCTAGAAAACAATTTAATCCTTGTTCCCCTCTTCTCAAACCTCCAACAAGTCCTGTCCTAACCTCACTCTTAGCCAGTTCCTCTGCTTCCTGTTTGACTGAAGAGTATAGCTTTATATTCCTATCATTCTATCAATCTACCTAGCAGCATCTATACTCATATATTCTGCCTTTCTTCATGTCACCACAGATCAGGGATCAGCAGACACTCTCTGTGAGGGTCAGAGAGTCAGTATCGTAGACTTTGAGGGCCAGTCTCTACTGCAACCATGGGCCATATACGAATAATTGAGTGTGGCTGTGGAATCAGAGGCTGTGATTTTCATGTGTCACAAATACTATTCTTTTGCTTTTTTTGTTTCAATCACTTAAGAACATGTGGAAAACATATTTTTAGCTTGTGGGTGTTACAAAACCAGGCAGAGGACCAGATTTGGCCTAAAGGTCATAGTTTGCTTCTCTCACTGAATAATTTTTCCACTAGCTAAGCCCTGTGTGTCCACTATGGACTGGACCCCCTCCTCTCTCATCTGTTCAAGAATATTGCTCTAGCATTTCTACCTCTGTCTCTATCAGTAATTCTTCTCTCTCCAACAGAGCATTCTCATCAGTATACAAACATGCTATTATTTCTCCCACCTTAAAAAGCAAAAACTTCTTTTAAGCCTACTTCTTCTTCCTACTACTGCACGACTCCTCCCCTTTGTAGGAAAACCTTCCCTCCTCGCTAAATCCCCTTGTCCCAGAAAACTCTCTTAAGCCCACCCTAATTAGGCTCTCACTCCTATTGTTATTCCACCCAATCTGCTCTTATTGATCAACGAATACATGTTGTTAAACTCAGTGCTCACTTCTCAGTGCTCATCTAATTTAATCTACTGTAGGTGACTCTGACAAAGCTAACTGTTCACTCCTCATGGACACACTTTTTCCGGCTTCCAGGACAACTCAGTTTCCTGGTTTTATTCACACTTCACTGGATATTTCCCTTGAGTCTCCTTCACGTCTTAATGATGGAGTGCCCTAGTACTTAGCCCTTCATCATCCTCTCTCTCTCTCTCCACTCATTCCCTGGTGACCACATTTAGATTCATGACCTTCAAATCCATCCACACATTAAAGTTTCTCAAAAACATGTGTCAAATGGACCTCTTCCCTCATCTCCAAGAGGACTGTGGAGATAAGAGTAAACAGAGCTGAACTGACATAGGCAGAGTATATTCTGGAAGTAGGGCTAGTTGAATTTACTAAGGACTGGACACTGGCATAAGAGAAAACAAAGCAAGGAGGAATGACCTCTATATTACTTTAATTTCTATAACTGTCCTCCCTCATTTCAAGGAACCCTAGATTTAAGCGCTTTTCTCGGAAAATGTATTTCACTAAAATATACTGGATCTTCTTCCACTAAGCATACAAAGCCTCTTTGAAAAAATTCTTTCACGTGGGATCTGTGACCGCCGAGCACTTCTCTGGGTTATTCACTGATGTATTCTGAGCATCTGGAGCCATGTCCAGTACTTCCTGGCGCATGGGAAGAGTTCTTAATAAGGGTTGTTGAAAAACTGACAATCTCCCACACTGACCCTGGCAATGCTGCCTATTGAACTCACTTTTTGTACAGATGCTTGATTCTTTTCATTCCACTTATTTTCTGCACATCGAAAGTAACTGTTGTGGGCAGCTTCTGACCAGCTCACAATGATCCCCACTTCCTGGAAGTCACCACCCTGTATAATCCCTCCCCTAGAGACTGAACCTAGTGATTTGCTTCTAATGAAAAGAACAGATAGAAGTGATAGGCTATTTCTGTGAATAGGTTACAAAAGACTCTGACTTCCATCTTGCTGCTGGTGTCTCTCCCTGGATCTTCTTACCTACTTACTCAGATGGAAACAGCTACCTGGAAAGGAACTGAAGGTTGTCTCTGGCCATTAGCCAGCAATAAATCAAGGCCCTCAGTCCAACTGCTGCTAAGGAACCCCATCCTTCCAACAAGCACCGAGGAAGCTTAGAAACAGATTCTGCTCCAGGGGAACCTTGAGTTGACTGTGGCCCCCACTGACACCTTGATTACAGCCTTGTGAGAGACCCTGGCCCTCGAAGCAGAGGGCCCATCTAAACTGCCTAGATCTCTGACCCAGAGAAACTATGAGATAATAAATGTGTATTATTTTATATCATTAAGTTTTGTTACACAACAATAAGTAACTAATATACTAAACTTCCACCTGGTATTAATGAAAAGAGAAACCACAGTTTAAATTCCGACTACAACTCCAAGCCATGTGTCTTTAGGGGAGACTCCCCCCACTTAAAGCCTCAGTTTCAACATTTTCAAAATGGGGATATTACCTATGAGATAAGATGTCTGAGGAATAAATGACTCTTCATGCTTCATATGAAGAACTAGCCAGAGCCTTGCACATTGCAGGAGATTAGTAAATGGTAGTTTAAATCCGAGATAATATGTCTCTCACTAAATAGGAGGCCCTTCAAATCTTTTTTAGAAGCAGAAAAGATTTTTAAATATTAAATTTAAAATAAAAATAAATAGTAAAATATAATTTATAACCCTGTCACAAGTGAGGCAATGAAATATTTGAAAAATACTTTTCTTACATTGAGTCTTGCCTTTCATTGGAAAGAAATAATTTTTTTAAAAACTCTAAAATACATACTTTGTCAGCAGCTGTCTCAGGTAGAGACTCTTCAATGCCAAGTTCTCGTCGTCTTTCAGCCCTAACTTCTGCATAACTACAAATGGAAAAAAAAAATAGAATTTTTGTGCTTAACCATTCATTTAAAATACTGCAGAGATGTGTTCCGTGTTTGTTATGTGTCTTACTTGTTCATCACAGATTCCACAGTATTTGCTAAGCACTACCCAAACCTAGAACCCATCTATAGTGTTCTATCTTAACCTAGGTATCTCAGAAGTTTTATACGCTTCTGTAAATGATCTGTGACTACATAGTACTTAAAAGGAATTAAATAAAGGAAAAGTATGCTTATCTATTCCAGTGCTCCTTTTACACGATGGACTTTGGTACATAAAAGACAGTTACAGCTTCTGCTCTAAACTATGACATTCATGCCAAGAATTATATATGTATATCACCTCCATTCTATCTCCATATAATGCCTTTAATGATGCACTGAAAACATGTATCAAAAATTAAGAGAAAGACCACTGTAGTTCTTAACAAGTTATGCCTAAAAATTACATTGCCAAACTATCAGTGTTTCTGTAATTCAGAAATGCTATAAAAGGATTATTACCTTACTACGGTGTGAGTACAAACAATAAACTCTGGCCTTGAATTCCACTGATGATAAGTGATGTAATAATGAGTCTGAAGCCAAATCCACTGTTGTCCCTTGGTAAGGAACCTATAATAACATGATTTGCCTTTCCCATACTGCATTACTAAGAAGAAAAGAGAAAAAATTTATTGATTCATATCATTAGCTATGAATCTGGTTTTTAGTCAAAGCTATCATTTATATTTAAATCTATATACACAATTCTTCTGGCTTTTCAATAACATATATATCAGTTGTAAGAAAATGTTATTCTACAGAGATTATTCTACAGGCCTTAAGCTTAAGGTCCGAAGCAATTATTGGATCTTCCATGGTGCCCAACTTAGAGTCAGTGCTGATCTCAGAAACTTGTCACACACGATACATTTCCAAATACTTAAGAATGAAGCAGTCACATATTGGCTTCCTCCTACTAACATGGGTTAAGGATAACAGCAATAAATAATCCCATTTGAGGTTTTTACCCCCACAGGTACCCTGGCAGGGACAGCATCTTTGGAGCATTTAATTCAAAACTTTAATGAAAATCCGAATAAGTTAATTGTTTAAAGTAACTGGTAACTATAGTATTACTCAAAACGTTCTTTGTAGATTATAAGTTCTGAAGTCTTGTAATATATTAAGCAAAAAAAAAAAAAAGTTCTATAGTTAATTTGGAAGCATTGTTAAATAGTTGAGTTTTTCTTTTTAAAACTTTGAGTATGCTAATTTATGTCATGATTCTGGGGGTGAGGAGGTGGTGGTAGGGATTGATTATGAAGTGTTTCCCAGTTTTCCTTGACCATAAAATCTGTTTTTAATGGACTAGCATTCTGTGAAACAAACCTTAGGAAATGCTGGTCAGGAATCAATCTCTCTCTCCCTCTCTCTCTCTCCATGAGGAAAATGAGGTCCACAAACTCAACTGCTTGTCCAAAACTACCCAGCTAGTCAAGAGAAGTGTCCGATCTCGTCAATACATCATAGAGCTTAGTGCCCCTATCACTGGGAGTGAATAATGTTCTTTTTGTGCTGAAATAACTTCACTCTGAAATCTTCCATTTAGTTGATACTGTTATGCAACATGGTTTATTTTTCATATAGAGGCTTACTAGACCAGCCTAAGACATCATGAAAATATCTAAAATATCTAATTAAGATTTAGAGGACACTTCAAGAGGGTAGATTTGGGGAGGAGAATCAGAGAAGCAAATAAAACACACTTCTGAAACAAAAAAAGAACAGCATGTGGTAAAGGGTCTAGGTTCTAATCCTGTCTCTGCCACTTATGAGTTGTGGGATTGTCAGTAAATTACTTGGCCTTGCTGTACCTCAGTTTACTTATGGAGATAACAAGAATATCTACTTTCTATAACTCTGGTAATGAATAACAGAGATAACATACATAAATCATTTAGAATTGTGTCAGCCAGGCACAACGAGATGCTACTGTTCCTGCTGCTAATAACCAAACACAGCAGGTAACATTAAGCATTCATTGTGGCTCTCTAAGAGTTTCTTTAAATGTGTACTCGCCTCCTGGGCAGACTTACATGCCTGGGTATTAAAACTAATGAAGTAAGGTTACAATATTTTGACATATACAATTTTCAAAGGAATCTATTTCTCTTATTCCAGATGTAGAACTTATACACTTCAAAAACAAGGTTCACTAGATGCCATATTATAAACCTGTACTTACTATTATAGATTAAAATATGTAAAACAGAAACAAGTTTAAGTTTGATCTACAATTCCTACTGGATGGCTATAAAGTAAAATTTTCCCAAAAAGGAAATCTTCCAGTATTTAAAAAAAAAAATACAAGAATGGTTACAAGTCTGCATTTTACCACCCTCTATTAATACACTATTTAGTTGACCAGAAGCAGTTATTATCACCAGAAATATTAAAATCTACTTACAATGCTCATGACACTTTGCCAAATTTTCTAGGTCATCCACATGATAGTAATCATAGCCTGATGTTCCCAGAACTTCAAATGGCAAATATCCTATTATAGGTGGTGCCCTAAATTATAAAACAATCAATATTATAACTTTTCCATAATAAGAAATACTTCAACTAGAAATCAGTTTTGGGGAGGCACGTGACTCAGTCGGTTAAGCATCTGCCTTTGGCTCATGTCATGATCCTGGGGTCTGGGGACCAAGCCTGTGTTGGGCTCCTTAGTGGGGAGCCTGCTTTTCCTTCTCCCTCTGACCCTCTCCCACTGCTTGCATTCTTGCTTGATCTCTCTCTCTCTCTCAGATGAATAAATTTTAAAAATCTTTAAAAAATAAAAAATAAAATAAATCTTAAAAAAAGAAATCAGCTTTGGGGGAAATCTTAAGTTCTGAAAAATGGATAATGGATTGAACATCTCATTAGAAAAATTTTGTCCCTGAAACCCATTAATTTCAAGACTTACATGACTTTTAGCTTTTAATGGAATTTAAAATGAAGTTACCTGTGATCTAGAAATAGGAACTTCCATTCTAAACTATGCCTGGATGTAAACTCTTCATTAGGTTCCTCAACAGTGCACATTTCCTAAAAGCAAATTAATTAAAATTTAGAAATACTGTTCTGTGCCCTTAGAGAATCCTAAATATTGTCAGCCATGATACTCATTATTAGATCATTTTTCCCTAAATTATTTTTTAATCACATTTTAATTTTCTAGTATTAAAGAATGTGACAATAAACATGCAGAATTCTGGGGAAGTATTTCCCACTCAACATATTTCTCTATTCACTCACATGCCTGTAAACCCTAATTCTAAATTCAGATCTCTCTCCTGAATTACAGTTCTATATTTCTGTCTGGATGTCCCCACGCATCACAAACTCCGTATGTCCTAAAATGAACTAACTGCCTTACTCCTTACATCCACATAGTTTTGTATCTCGTTACTGGAGGCATACCTGTGTTGTGCCATCAGTCTAGAAATCTGATAGTCACAAGACACTCTCATTTTGCCCTTTTAAAAACCACCTAAATGGCTGTTACCAAATCCTTTCAATTTCACCTTCTAAATTTAAAAACAAAACAAAAAACAAAAACAAAACAAAAACAACTATGTAATCCCATCCGTCTGCAGGGTCTTATTAGACTCTAGACTTGCCATCTCTGGCTCATGTTATTGCCATAGCTTCTCCCCAGACAAGTCTCCCTGTTCTTTAACTCGTCTTTTTTTACTCTGGCCACATTTACCTTCTGATACTCAAGTAAGATTATGACTTCCCTGCTTAAAAACCTTGATGATTTCTCATTCGGTTAGGATAAAGTTTAAACTCTTTAGCATGGAGAAACAACAAAGAAACATATTTTATTTCTGGACTCTGCTTGCTGTTCTAACCTCATCTCCCACCATCCCTACGCCCTCCACTCGCAATAATCCTAGACCCTAGTCATACTCAGCAATGTAGTCCAACCTCCTGTGTCCTTGAATGACCTCCTACAGCACAATAAAGTGAATTAAGAGTTTGGGCTTTGAGAAAATGGGAATTGTAATTAATCTACCACTTAACAGCTGCAACTTTGAGCAAGTAACGTAACTTCCCAAAGTCTCAGTTTCCTTACATATAAAATGAGGTTCATACTAGCATCTATCTTATAAAGTTCTCACAATAATTAAATGAGGCCGTACGTGTGAAGTAAGCAGCAATCAACAAATGTCAGCCGCTGCTATCATTTCCTACGAACAGAAAAAGCAGAACGAGACCGGACTAAGGTTCTCGAACTGCTACTTCTAGAATGCGGTCTCCCTCTAAATTTAAAATCTTAGCCTGGCTTATTTCAAGCCACTTTCTAGTGGCTGAACTATTTTCCCACTTGTCTACTGCTAATCATCTACTTCTTGAGCCCCAGAGAATAAAATAAATTATTTAACTGAATTTTAAAATTAAAAAGGTAAAACTATATGCAGTAAAAGGTCACTTGCATATTTCAAAAGAAAATTTCAAAAGCAATCTTTAAAAATCACCTAGATTTTTGGTCTTTCCCCTGGAGTATAGACTGTGAACTATATAAAAAAGTAACCTAACACTTTGCACAAAAGCAAGACAGTGGTGATATATAACCACTGGTTAGCTGCAAAGGATATGTATTTTAAAATTAATTATAATTTAATGAGTGCCTTGATAACTCATTTGCTTCAAAATAAATTAAGATGAAATCAGAGAGGGAGAGAAACCATAAGAGACTTTCGACTCTGGGAAACAAACTGAGGGTTGCTAGAGGGGACGGGGGCTGGGGGATGGTGTAACTGGGGGATAGGCATTAAGGAGGGCACTTGGAAGTAGTGAGCACTGGGTGTTGTATGCAACTAATGAATCACTAAATTCTACTTCTGAAACTTATAAAACAGAATATGTTACTTAACTGATTTTAAATTAAAGAAATTATCACAACCACGTATATTTAATGGCTCATGATCATTACTGCTTTAATGTTTGTAAGAAATATCAGTTATTCTGGAAACAAAAAAAATTACATAAAGCTAGTTCTCATAATATGAAGTGAAATCCTCTTTGGAAAATAGAAACATACCTTGATGAACTGAGGTGTAGCTAATCTCACAGTAGCTACAAAACAAACTCTATCATCATAAGAAGGCCTGTGTGTGCGTTGTATAGTCCCTTCAAAACCATTGTGTGCTGAAGTGGATACTAAAAAAATAAGGAAACACTTATCAGTTACTCCAGTAAAATCTAGTTATTACTGATGTTCAAACATCTGTGTCTTTAAGAGTTTAAAGAACCAACTTAAAATTCACTATATTTTTAACTCACCACTATTTAAAGATTTGAAATTTCCTATAAATTTCACATATTCATAGGTAGACGGCTCCTTCGGGTCTATTGTTCCTCGAAGCATATGGCAACAGAATTCTAACTGATTTTTTGCTGAAATGAGAAAAAATGTGATATATTTGTGATTTGTCATAGTGAATGATCTATAAGATGATAAAAGTTGTGTAAGTTTATAATCATTATTTTCTCCAACAGAAGTTCTCAATGGCATTTTGTTTAGTTCGTAAAAGTAAAATATCTTTAGGAGATGATCTCATCTTATTCTTAATAGAGGAGACATATCTTCTGTTATAAGCAACTGTATATTTCCCTACTTTTATCTGTTTTTCCTTCTCATTCTTCGCTCTCATGTGAAAGAAAGGTTTCGCTTCCCATTACAAAGCTAATGCTTTTCTCCACCTCGAACAGTCTTTCCTACCTTTTCTAGGACTAGGGCTACTCCACTGTCATTCATTCCTTTAGCATCCATACATTCTCTTTGGGTCCTTACTTTCCAATTTTAAATTTGTTCAGGTCTTTCCACCTTAAACAAAGGGTTTTTCATGCTACTCTTTTTAGTATCATAGATCTTCCTTTTTATTATGTGCTCTATTTCCATAGATTCATCTCTCTGAACTTTCATGAAATGTGGTGTTAGTCCTTACACCTCTGAAGAAATTTCTTTTTAAGATCACCAACATTTGTATTGAGTTAACAATAAAATCAGTGATCTTTCCTCGTTGTTTCTACCTCTTTAAGACTCATTACATTTTCATCTCCATAACACGAAACTTAACCTTCCTACCTTACTATTTCCATAAACTCTCCATCAACTCTCCATCAATCCATTTTTTAACTATGAGCATTCACAAGAGTTCTTTTTCATCTTTTACTATCCCCTTATAAATTTATTGGCATTGGTAAATTTATTTGCTCCTAAACCTCTAATTCTAACATTTTATGTTTAAGACCAAATATCATATCATTATTTGCTTTAGGCATTTCTACTTGATTGTCCCACCAAGCAACTTAAACTCAAAATATCTGGAAGTGAATTTATCCCTCTTTCTTCCAAGCCAGCTGTTCTCCTTTGTCTTATGTGTCTTATCTCCCCAGTTAGAAACCCTACCAGTCTGGTCTCTTCTTTATCGTATGCCCCAAATCTAATCTGTCACCAGGACCTGCTGTTTAGTTCACCAAACTCTCACTACTCATTTTTTCCAACTTAGCATCCAGTACCACCAATTTAGTAGAGAAATTACCCTGCATTCAGGTAGCTGCAAAATGTATTCTTTAAGCTTCTACACTCCTGCCACTAGAATTCAATCCTGCCTACTACTCTTAGACTAGTATTACCTTCATCATTATTTCAGCACTCAAGGACTAGTAACACCTCTTTTCACTCACAGCATCAAACTCATACTCTTCTGTTATTACCACAAAAGGCTTTATTATCAAACTCAACAGATCTAACTACTTTCTTCCTAAAACCTTCCTCACTGATGATCCCTGGCTACTTGGTCACCTGTGCCTAAGGCCAAGTCCTCCTGAGTTCATCTACTCAACACTCATATATAGGTTTTTCTTTCCACCCTTACTTCTATTGCTATTCTTACCTCCAGTCTGGTCCTTCCAAAATTTTCCACCTGAGGTATACTTTTTTCCAGACCACCTTTTTTGTTTTCCCCCAAATCCCTTTCACTAGCTCCTCATTATGTAAAAAATAAAACTCAAACTCCTTAGGATGAACTAGTGAGCCCGATTTCCTTCTCTGGACACAAATCATACCACCTGTACCACCCCACCTTCACTATGGCCCAAACGACCAGCTTGCAGGATCCTGAATTTTCTAAGCCATTTCCTCTGTTATATATCATATTATTCACTTGGCATCAACACTTTTGGGGGAGAAATAAATTTGTTTTGTATACTAATTGTTTAACTAGGGCGTCAGGAAGTCATTTAATTAAAGCTTTTCTCTATCAAAAAGTACTGTTGCCAACCTCACCTCTGGTCTTGGAAGCAGAAGTCTAAGAGCTGTCTTTCTGCCAGAAGCTTGCCTGCATTCAGTTCTCCAATCAATTCTGCCCTTACGAAGGTCGCTAAAGTGGACCATCTCTCCTCTGTCCACCTACTGCTATGGCCCAGAGTTCCAACTTTCTTCTCTTTGCTCTATATGTTTACCTTAAGCAGTGCCATTCAATCCATGACGTCAAGCCCTATTTACAGACACATAACTGCCTCTGTGTCCAGTCCAGATCTCTTTCCTGGAATGGTCTATTGGTCAGTGTCATAAGAACTAGGCTTTAAATGGATTTTCCTTATCCCTAGTTCTTCTTGACTCCTTCTAATCCGTTCTTAACAAAGATATACATTCACACATAGTTACACATAAACATGTGTGTGTGTGTGTGTGTGTGTGTGTGTCTATTCTTAGTAAGTATGCTACAGAATTTCAGGGTTCAAAATAAAAATAACTTTTAAAACGATTAAGCAGTATTACCAGAAAACTCAAATATTTTAAATCATGAAAAAAAATGATTAAACACTAAACAGTGTTATAATAATTTCAGGTTAAACAAGGGGTAATTTAGTGAAGAAAATGAAACATTCTGGTCAAATTGATTTGTCAAATGAATCTAAGAGAAATGTCTAATTATACCACAGTATTTTGTACTTCTTGAAGGCAAGGACTATTTTTCACTATTCTAGGCACTCTTATGAGATAGCCCAAGTTCCAGGCATATTAAATATATACAATAAATGATAACTTAATTTAGTTTAATTAATAAAGCAATTTCCTTTACATAATAATATTCTGAAATACAAAAGTTACTTTTTTCTACAGTTCCAGTGTTCAATTGGTCAGTGATGGTGAAAATGAGACTATTTTCTTTCATTACATACAAAAATATTTTTTCTTAATTTATTGCCAGGTTCCACTTCTGTGTGAAATATATTTTTATGGCAAAACTATTACAACAAAAAAGAATGGGTTTCAATATACCCTGAAAGAGAGTGCAGACTTTTAATATGGTCATAATTCCATTATGTATATACTAATATTTAAAAAGGATCTAATAGGGTATATTGCATTATGCTATGTGTTGATATGGTTTGACATGTCTGTGTTTGTTACAAAAACTGAACTGTGTTTGTTATAAAACTAAAGGAAAGTGCAACCAAATACATTTAACTTTTTGCTTGATAGTAACTACTTACATTTTAAATATTCAGGGGTTAACGAATCACTTTCCAGCAGATGAGTAGAGAGTATTTTATAAACCTCTGAATGTTCCCCCTCTGGGATAAAATTAAATATACTTTGATCCACAAGATCAGACTAAAAAAGAAATTTTTAAAAAATACAATAATTTTAGTGATTCAAGATACATTTATTTTAAAAGTATATCATCATTCTTAAAACATCACATTGAGCATATGGCTAACTTTCAATCATCTATAAAAACTGACAAATTCCAAGTTATAAAGCACAGCTCAAAAAACAAGAGAAGGTGGAAGAAGGTTAACATGACTTCCATGCCTCTGCTATGAGTGTCATCAGATCAATGATCAATATATGACTGTGAAAGTCTGATAAATTATTTGCAAAGGTGAGTTTGACCTAATTTGAACAGTTACTATATAACAGGACTAAGAAGGTTTAATACTAATATCTTTGGCTAGGAGATACAGCCTTACCACATATCCAAACCTCTGGTAAATTAGGGTGGTGTACGATATAACAAAGGACCAAAGCATTATCCACTGGCTAAGTGAAGAGAAGATTTGACTGCAGTGTTATTTCAATTATCTAGTGTGTCCTTTCTTTTTTATTTCATTTTTTCCTGCCATCTATCCTGTATCCCACTGACAAAAAGCCTTGCTTTTAGATAAAAAAAGAGGCAAGTAGTATGTTAAGCTTTACAATCCTTGCTAAAAATATGGCTTTTAACCATGGTTTAGTAACCAAAAATAATTTGACAAACATCAGGTTGTCTATGATGTGCCATGGCTGTGGAATAAAAAACGGTTAAGATAGTTCCTACCCTTGAGGACTACTGACGAGGGGCACCTGGGTGGCTCGCTTGGTTAAGTATCTACCTTTGGCTCAGGTCATGATCTCAGGGTCCTGGGATCAAGCCTGCCTCAGACTCCATGTTCAGCAGGGAGTCTGCTTCTCCCTCCCGCTCTGCCTTCTTCCGTGCTCATGCATATGTGCACTCTCTCTCAGATAAATAAAAATAATAACATAATAATAATTAAAAAAGAATCACTGACAAAACTTCAGTGACTTCACATTTCCTATTAAATCTAGCCCATTTGACTTGGTTTCTCTACATTTTCAAACTGCCCCCATGGAATTCTGGGCCAGTGAAGTGGTATGCCAAGAACTGTGGAGGAAGGGGTGGAGGGTAAGGGAAGTGAGAAGGTGTTGTGGAGGCCGGGCTAAAGGTCTATGCCCCTGCATTCAACCAAAGCACTTCCACTGTTTCTATTTTAAACACTAAACACTTTGTTTGAAAAAAAAAAAGGGGGGGGGCAAAACAAAGGAAAAAACCCTCAAAGAACAACAAAAAACAACCATGGGGGCTAGTGAGAGGTAAGAAAGGGATGTTTTACTACTCTCCACACATTTTCTTTTCTCTAGCCCTCATTGTCCAACCCATGAAGTAGAGTATCCTTCCCTCCTCTTTCCAGATTTGTACACTCTACCTTTCAAAGTTTAATTCAAATTATTTCCTTCAAAAAAGCATTCTCTTCCTGCTCTTTGCAACGACGTGGATGGAACTAGAGGGTATTATGCTAAGTGAAATCAGTCAGAGAAAGACAAGTAACATATGATTCCACTCATGTGGAATTTAAAAAACAAAAACAGATAAACATAGGGGAAGGGAAGGAAAAATAAAATAAGATGAAAATTGAGAGGGAAGCAAACCATAAGAGATGCTGAACTCTAGGAAACAAACTGAGGGCTGCTGGAGGGGAGGGGATAATTGGGTGATGGACATTAAGGAGGGTACTCCTTAATGGATACTTGATATAATGAGAGCACTGGGTGTTATACACAACTGTGAATCATTAAATTTTACCTCTGAAATGAATTTTTTTAAAAAAGCATTCTCTAAACACCATAAACCACAGTAAAAATAATAAAATCCTTTAGTATTTATTACTCATATCATTCCTTTTTCACAAAAAAACACTGGTTATATTTTAATGTCTATGTCCTGCTACTCCATGAGTGAACAAAAGGGCCCTATCTCTTACACCTTTATCTCCTGTCCTTCAAATCAAGGCAACACTGGCACAGTGCTTTGCATATAAGTGTTACCAGTACAGTAAAATATTTTGGACTAAGGAGTTATTTGATAAAACTTAAGGGATAACCATACCAAAAATATATCTGTATTTTAATGAGATTTTTCTAAAAGTCTGAAAAATCTCCAGAAGTAATGAACTAAAAATTGAAGCACGAATAAGAACAAAAGCTAGAAAACTACTTTTTATTGACAAAATAAAGTATCAATAATCTATGCATTGATACCAGTATAAAAATTGTCTTAACAGAAAAATAAGACACCAATGTGAAAAACTAAAACTTTCATTTTGGAAATGATTATTGTTTTCTTTTCTTTTTTTTTTTTTAATAAACATATATTTTTTCCCCCAGGGGTACAGGTCTGTGAATCTCCAGGTTTACACACTTCACAGCACTCACCATAGCCCATACCCTCCCCAATGTCCATAACCCCACCCCCCCTCTCCCAACCCCCCTCCCCCCAGCAACCCTCAGTTTGTTTTGTGAGATTAAGAGTCACTTATGGTTTATCTCCCTCCCAATCCCATCTTGCTTCATTTACTCTTGATTATTGTTTTCTATTATTTATTCTTATCTACAATTTCTTCTATTTCAGTAAATTATGATGTGAGCCATGTTACCCTTGCTTTTCCACCCATAAACTTATAGGAGGTTTCATATTTATAGAGAAAATATGAATGACTAGTATAGAGTGGTATGGTCACAGGTAATGCTTCCCCACCATTCTGCTTCCCCTGACACTTGATAATCTGAAATGTCAGAGTGAGCAAGCAACTAATGAATTAATTAATGTGTCAAACTTTCCTTCAACCACTACATTTAAAATCTCTAAATGAAGGTAATCATACTTGATGTTGGCAAACCACCCACTCAGTTCCCAAACACAATTCAAAGGAAAGAAAATAAAATGGTAGCTATCTGGCTCCTTCTATCCCTCTCAATCATTTTCATGAAGAAATATAAAATCTGCTATTTATAATGTGACCTAAATCAACAGCCTTTCTGTTTTCTTTCTTTACTTTTCTTAAGCTGGAAATTTGTGCCTCTTAATCCCCTTCTCCTATTTCATCCATCCTCCCCCATCTCCTCTGGTAACCACTAGTTTCTTCTCTGTGTTTAATAATCTATTGGGATCTTTTTATTCATTTCTTTTCTTTTTCAGATTCCACACATAAGTGAAACTATTTAGGATATGACTTTCTCTGACTTATTTAACTTAACATAATACCCTCTAGGTCCATCCATGATGTTGCAGATGGCAAGATTTCATTCTTTTTTATGGCTGAGTAGTATTCCATTATATATATACACCACACCTTCTTCATCCATTCATCTATGGATGAACACTTGGGTTGCTTCCACACCTTAGCTATCTTAAATAATGCTGCAATAAACAAAGGGGTACATGTATCTTTCTGAATTAGTATTCCTGTTTTCTTTGGGTCAATACCCAGGAATGGAATTACTGGATCATTCAGGTCTTTCTGTTCTTCTCTACAGTAGGTCAATGTGACCATTAAGTGGAAACTATTCACTCCCACCAATTTCCTTTCCTTTCAGGTAGACAACCAACAGTCAGATAACTGCTTTTAGTTTGGAAATATAAACACAAGTTGCTTAAAAAGTATTAAAAGCTCCTCTAAAAAAGTATCAAATATATGTTGGATATAATAACTATGTTCCTTTTGTACAGGCACCAGGAACAAAAATTCTGGCCCTATCAAATAAGCTTTCAAAATCATTATATAACTATTCAAAAAAAATTCTAAATTATATTGTGGCATACTATATTTATACCAAAGTCTGTACTGACTTTCTTAAAACACACTTTCGTTTATACTTCCCAACTAACAAGTTAAGAAGAACAGAAAAGGAAAGGAAAAGTATCTTCAGAGCAGCACTTTCACTCTTGGACTCTGTTACACTGTAACATGGTTAATCATTCTCCCACCCCCAACCCCCCCCTCCCCGCCCCACATTACAGGTGATTACAAGTTTAATATACTCTCCCTCTCAGGAGCACATTTAAGCAAGTGTGAGGAAATCAAGTCTTAAGTTGTCAAGTGTTAACCAATTTTAAGTTCCCAGTCAAGAGGCCTGACTTTTTGTGTTGCCCTTTTTACTAAATGTTTGCATAATTAAGTCCAATTTCTTTGGGAACATGTCTGCTGATAACATAAAGGCAGGCTGGGCTGAGGAGGTCTAAAATCCCTTCTGATGCTGAGGTTCTATGACCCTATGATTTTGTCACAGAATGTCAAACCAAGAAGGGGGAAAAAATCAACAAAATGCCTTCTCCTAATTGTTAGCCACAAATAGTTAAAATGTACCTAAGTTAATTTCCTAAGTATGAAGTGACAAGAATATTCTTTTTGGAGGACCTAAACTATCAATTTTATAATTTTATAGTCAGAATTAGAATTTAAAAATTTTAAGTTCCACTGAACACTAAGATGGCAAATTCTAGTTTCTCAAGAGAACTGAATTATAAACACTAAAGCCAAATTTGGGGATTTGCTAATGTTTCTTTCCTTACAGGCAACAGCCAAAATTCTATTTTAGACAAAAAAGGTATGCATATTAAAATGAAAAAATTATTTTAAACTACTTGTTATACTCAATTTTTTAAAAGATTTTATTTATTTATTTGACACAGAGAGATCTCAAGTAGACAGAGAGGCAGGCAGAAAGAGCGGGGGAAGCAGGCTCCCTGCTGAGCAGAGAGCCCAATGCAGGCCTCGATTGCAGGATCCTGAGATCATGACCTGTGCCGAAGGCAGAGGCTTAACCCACTAGCCACCCAGGTGCCCTGTTACAGTTAATTTTTAATGACAACTCAAAATAGGAAAGCACATATTGTTTTCTCCTATTATGCATAATCCTAAACAAGTATTATTTCATTTTCTCAAAAGACACTTGTGCTTATGTTTTCAAATCATTAAATAACATATAATTCAGCAATGTCAGTGATGTGAGGGAAAGTACAGTAAGCAGAGAAAAGCAAAAAACTGTTTTAAAAAAGGCTACTCTTTACTCAGAATGAAATGAAACGGGTCTACTGGATCAGCAGCAATCTTCTCTGCCAAAAAAATATACCTGCCAGTCTATAAGCTTTGGCTTACACAATCAACTAAAAAGATCCAGAAGATGTGAGTAAGAGAGGAAACTGGGCATGCGGCATATGGGAACTCTCTGTACTATCTTCTTCATTTTTCTGTAAATATAAAACCAGTTCTAAAATTAAAAGTTAAAAAAAAAAATAGGAGGGAATGTGAGGGCAAAGAGGGTTTGCATTGGAAGAAAAACATTAATGATCAAACACCTAAATCCTAACTGGACGTGCTGTAGAATCTGATCTTTAAGTGTGATGTCTATTCTTTTGGTAACATATAAAGTAGCAGAATAATCAAAGGAAGGGTGATAGTGCTTTTTGCTATCTCTTGAAAAAGACCTTTACAGAAGAGTTACTCTGTATTCTAATAGATCTTCAAAAGATGGGCAATTTAAGAGTAATTTATAAATAACTTCAGAATATTTATACTACAAGTCCTATCTTAGATAAGAACAATTACATTTTTTAAACAATTACATTTTAAATAAAAACTTTAAATTCATAAAAACTGTCAACTGCAGCACAGCACCTAGCATAACAGTGACACAGAGTAGTCAACAAATACACGTTTAATAAAACAGCAAGCAATAAGATACAATTCAGGTATTCATCATCCTGATCAAAATTATACAATATAATTTTCTAATTCTGTTGGGTCATATTGAAAATAAATTGAATATGGTCATTATAAAATTCTCATTTCTAGCACAGAGCACAAAAATTCTGTACCTATTATTTTTAGTGTGTTATTCTAAGTTATTCTTTTGAAAAAATTACTTGAGTTCCTCTGAAAGGAACAAATAACTCCCCCCAAATTTACTTACTCTTAAGTTATTTCCAGTGACTTAGCAACACTGTCACCAGGCTGATTAAAAAGGAAACACTGAGAACAGCATGAGAGTAAGAAGGGCAGAGGTTAGATACAGTGGCAGTTAAGTATTAGTTACTGCCAAATAGAGAGACATGGTTAGAGCTCACCTCCTGACTCTAACAACTGTTCAACATTGCTCTGGAGATCCTCTTCCTCATGCTTTAGAACATTTAAAATAGGTCTTAAATAAGAAAAAGATCACAGGATACTTACTGGTAAATGTTCAAGTAATGAAGTTATACTCTCAGACACATATATTATGCTTCCATCTGTCATGATTGCTAAAAAAAAACCATCAAGAGCCTGAAATTAAACATAATGGTCAGTTAAGCTAAAAGAAAAAAAGTATAGGACAGAAAAAAAAAAAATCTAATTAAATGACAAAGACTTAGTGTGTAATTTCCAGAGTGCTGCCAAATGCTAACTTTTCCCTTTACAACACCGTAGTACATATCTTTGTGCATTCTTAAATGTTTCTGGGGGGAAAAATCACAATATGGTCATACATGGGAGAGTTGCCTTCTAAAACAGATACCTAATGTTCTATCATTATTTTATGTACATTATAAGAGAACTGCCTTATTTGAAGATGCTGGTATCTGACATGACATCAATGATATGTCTGACACAAAAGAACACATTCCCACCTTTTGGGTATATTAATAAAAAGATGTTGAACTGAAACTTAAGGAGATACATGAGGTTAAAGTGAAAGAGAAATTAAGCTGAAAAAGTAGGCTGGGTCAGGTCATGAAAGGCCTTGAATACCAGGTCAAGACATAAGGACTTCGTTCAGAAGTAGTCTAGAAGCAGTATTACATGGATTTAGAAGAAACATAAGTTAGGAAAATTTCAGTGGCTTCTGGAAGTCAGGGAAGTTAATGAAAATATGAATGAAATCAGTAGCAGTAAGAACAGAGAATTAGGCAAACTTTGAAAAATGGGAAGTTAGAGTTCAGAGAGAAGCTAGTACAGGGGATAAGATAATTAACAATAAAGCAACGCTGTACTTTATATTTTATAAAGTATTTTCACTCGAGAGCCCTAGGCACAGAAGTGACAGCTGAAGAAATGAGATCTGCAAAAGACAGAAGCATGCCGAAGACAAATCCTTGGAATAATTATCTACACATAGGGATGAGGAGGAAGACAAGGGCCAGAGAAAATGACAGAGAATAAAGACATTGTCAAGGAAGGCAGTGGAAGAGCAAATGACCAGGTGAGTGAGGAGGAAGAGGGATTGTTCACTATAAAAAGAGATCAAATAGGATAAGGACTAAGAAAATGACAAGTGGATTTTGATGACTTTTAAGAGTTATGTCAGTAGCAAGGTGCATCAGACTACACTGAGTTTAGAGACAGTGGATATTGTCCATTACAAAGTACTCCTTTATGAACTTCAGAGGGAAGGAAGGAAAAGGGTAAGTTCTAAGGGGACCAAGTATCAAGGGAAGTAACTGAACTATATATGCAGGTTGAAGGAAAAGAAGATCCAGTGGAAAAGATGCTGAAGATACACAGCAGAAAAGATATACCATAAGAAGAGTTCCTCTCTGCCTATCAGAACGGCTATCATGCTAAATTTAAAATTATTTTTAATTATAGGGCTCTCTCAAAGGATAGCAATTGCTGGTAAGAACCATATGTATCTTCTTGAACACCGTGTCTGCAGTACCTCGCAGATATGTGGCATGTAGTAGATAAAAAAATATCTGTAGTATATAATGTATGGACCTGGGAGTTAGAGTCATCTCCTACTTCGAAATAACTGTTGAAGAATTGCTGAATATATAGAAAAAGGCACCCTCCACCTCACCTCACCTTCTACTGGGGGACAGCTCTGGATGTCAGAAAGAACTTACTTTGAGTAGACGCCTATCTTCTAGAATGGCTCAGAAAAACCCATTCTCGGCTGAGCATGTGTGAGAGAGAGAGACAGAAAGAGAACCTTGTAATTTAAGAAAATTCAAGGGTACCTGGGTAGCTCAGTCTGTTAAGTGCCTGACTCTAAATTTCAGTTCGGGTCATGATCTCAGGGTTGTGAGATCGAGCCCTGTGTTGGGCTCTGCACTCTCTCTCTCTCTCTCCCTCTTCTCCTTCTCTCTTTCCCTCCCTACCTCTTACCGCACCCCCCCCCAACACACATATGTGTGTGTGTGCTGGCTCTCTCTCGCAAGCGAATAAAGAAATCTTTAAAAAAGAAGAAAAGAAAATTCATGAAATTATTTTTATCCAAACTCCTTAGTACAATAATGCTTGTATTATTATTTCATAATGAATGGGTTAAGAAGAACATACTTCACGTGAAGCTAGATCCTGTTATCTCTGAAAGTAAAATAATATTTATTATGATGACCTGTATTTGCTCTTGGGATATTTGCTAGAAGCTGAGTGGAGCTCTCTTCTGTGAGGGGAATGAACTGAAATCAGAACTCTTAATAACGTAAGCGCATCGCCAGAACCAGAGCCTAGCCGTTCATCTTCGAACAGGCAAAGACTAAGCAGAGAAAAGTCTCCACCAACATACCACAAAAGTCTTAACACAAGAAAGGACCCAGGGCCCAGGACTTCTTTTGAGAGGAGGGATATAATTTCCGAGCACAGTGGATATGTACACCAAAAACTTAAGGGGTCTTGAGGAGAGCCGTAAGGAGGAAGACTGGAGAAATATGGATGAGAAAGTAAGACAGGGAAGGACATCCTACTCCCAAGACTGAAGCCTGTGAGGCTTATCCCTTTTCCCATACTGTCTGATATAATGGGAAGAGATCATTAGTTAAAACTGTTTGTCTTCAATGATGGTGGCAGAGTAGCAGGATCCTAGCTATACCTTATCCCCAAATACAACTTGATAACTATCAAATCACCCTAAATATCCCAGAAATCCATCTGAAGACTGGCAGAGCAAACAACTAAAGGTAGAGAAGAGAGCACATTAAAGAAGGTAGTAAAATGCAGAGAGGCAGTGAAAAAGACGGGCTGCTACAGTGGGGAGGGAGCCCCAGTAACAGAGACTCACAAAAGACAGACTAGCACACAGTGGAGTACAAAAGAAAAACAAATCCCCATAGCACCTGGGCTTGGAACATAAGAGGGGCCAAATTTCATGAGTTCTGGCAATCAGCAGGGCTTAACGCTAGAGTTCTAAAGATCTGCAGGTTTGGCTCAGAGAATCCGGGGTCACTGGGGAAGAAGGCAGGGCAAACATCCTGCGGACACAGTGCGGAAATGGAGATCTGAAGAGCAGGTGGGATATACAGTGGGGAGGTTATTTGCTCATCTCAGAGTGTATCCCAGAGAGACAGCATTCATAGAAAGACCCCACCAGGAACAAAGGAACTGGCAGGTACCATTTCCCTCTCCCACCCCTCAGCCTAAGCACACAGCCACCTGTGGGAACAAGGGCAACCTCAGCACTCACTACTTAATTCCTTTACACCGAGTGCCACCCTTCTGTGCTCCAGAAAAACCACCCTTTCCAGTCACATTTGTGTCAGTCCCAGTGTGATGCCCCCCCACCACCCCCAAAACCCAGCCCAAACCCTTGGCCATACCACTTCTCCCCACCCAGAAGTCTTACAGGGCCTCAGTTCCACTGGTGGTAGTGACAGGTCTCATTTCACAACAGGTGAAGAGAGCCTCTGCAGACGACTTGCCTGAAGGATAAAGTGGCCAGGACACAACAGCAGAAAATACACAGCACACGCTGGAGATACTCCTTGAAGTGCTAGGCTCTGGGGAAGAGGTAACACTACTTAGCAGGGCATTACAAAACCTCTCCTTCATAAGGCCATTACCCTCAAGAACAGGAGATGAAGGTGACTTTCCTAGCACAAAGAAGCAGCCAGAGACTTAAACAAAATGAGAAGGCACAGGAATTTGTCCTAAATAAAATAAAAGGGCAAGGCCACAGGCAGAGACCTAAGTAAAACAGATATAACTTACATGCCTGATAGAGAATTTTTAAATAATGATCCTAAATATATTCAACAGACTTGAGAAAAGAGTGGAAGATATCAGCAAGACTCTCAACACAAAGATAAGGAATAACATAGCAGAGATAAAGAGCTCAATGAACAAAATGAGAAATACACCTGATGGAATGAAAAGTAGAATGGAAGAAGCAGAGGAATGAATTAATGACCTACAAGACAGAGTCATGGAAAATAATCAAGCTGAAGAAAAGAAAGAAAAAAGAATAACACTAAATGAGAATAGACTTAGGGAACTCAGTGACTCCCATCAAACTTAGTACCATTCATATTATAGGAGTCCCAGAAGAAGAGAGAGTAAAGAGGGCAGAAAATTTATTTGAAGAGATAAAAGCTGAAAACTTCCCCAATCTAGAGAAGAAAACAGATATCCAGACCCAAGAGGCACAGAGAACCCCCAACAAAATCAACAAAAGCAAATCCAGTGGTAAAGAAAAAAATCTAAAAGCAGCAAGACAAAAGACAACAGTTACATACAAGGGAAACTCCCTAAGATTAGAGGAGGATTTTTCAACAAAAACTTTCCAAGCCAGAAGGGAGTGGGCATGATACATTCAAAGTACTTAATGGGAAAAAAAATCTGCAGCCAAGAACACTCTACACAACAAGGCTATCATGCAGGGGTGCCTGGGTGGCTCAGTCATTAAGCCTTCAGCTCAGGTCATGATCCCGGGGTCCTGGGATTGAGCCCCGCATCAGGTTCCCTGCTCAGCAGGAAGCCTGCTTCTCCCTCTCCCACTCCCCGGCTTGTGTTCCCTCTCTTGCTATGTCTCTCTCTGTCAAATAAATAAGTAAATAAATAAAATCTTTAAAAAAGGGAAAAAAGACTATCATTCAGAACAGAAGGAAAGATAAAGAATTTCCCAGACAACAACAACAACAAAAAAGTTTTTCCCAGGCAAACGAAACTAAATGAATTCACAACCACTAAATGAGCCATTCAAGAAATATTGAAGGGGACTATGAGTCGAAAAGAGAGACCAAAGTGACAAGTGTGAAGACAGAAAACACAAAAGCAGGAAAAATGAGTATTTCTGTAAAATATCAGTCAAGCAACTTAAAAATAAAAGGATGTAAAATATGACACCATTTACCTAAAACATAAACAGGAGAGGTGTAAAGAATGGGCTCAAACTTAAGCAACCATCAACTTAATATAGACTGCTATATGCAGAAGATGTTATATACAAACTTAATGATAACAACAGATCAAAGATACTAATAAATATGCAAAGAATAAACAGGAATACATCTGAATATATCACTAAAGAAAACCAGCAAACCATCAAAGAGAAAAGACAAGAAAGGATC